TACGTATATACGTATATGTTAATATTCATTTATATATTCCTACAGCCGACGCCTCTGCTGCCGTATATGCCTCGTGTATAATGTTCCCTCCGCCATGCCCGCCCACATAAACACGGCTATACCTCATGCATGATACGTTTACGTACTTAAGTCCCTTTAAATATATATATATTCTAATTACTATTAAAACTTATATATTAATACACTTTATTCTCATTAAGAGATATGTAGTGTATTCATTCCGATTACGGAGGATGATTCTCGTATCGTTATTTTTCGTCACTACCTCCACGTTACGCGCCTGCTGCTTTCCTTGGATGTGGTAGCCGTTTCTTAGACTCCCTCTCCGGAATCGAACCCTTATTTCCCGTTACCCGTTACAACCATGATATTGATATTAACTACTATCATAACATGAAACTAAAAAGTAAAAAATAAATATAGTTTAAAAAAACTAAAAAACACGCTTTTAAAGCACATCGAACTAAAAAGTTAAAAATAATTTTTAAAATTAACTTAAAACAATAATGAACGAAAAATATTAGTATTATTGTGATAAAAGCGTGGGTGCTTTGTGCCATGTTTTTCGTATATTGAGCGCCACACGCTTTTTTTCACAATAATACTAGTATTTTTCGTTCATTATTGTTTTAAGTTAATTTTAAAAATTATTTTTAACTTTTTAGTTCGATGTGCTTTAAAAGCGTGTTTTTTAGTTTTTTTAAACTATATTTATATTAGTTTCACTTGTATGTTTGTTGTGGGATGTTTGTAACTTTCCACGCGCACGCGCACGAGACTAGACGGTCGTAACGCATTCACCCCACCCCGCTCACCACTCGTAGATAACAATATTTTCCAACCCGTAGACGCGCGCTTGTCATCAATTATATATATATATATATATTATATATATAACAAATTTTTATTGTGATTGACATGGCCCCGCGTCGTTCTACGCTGCGGTGCAAAGTCCAGCAAGTGCCGCACGGCCGACGACGTCCCGCCGTTAATGATACCGTAGTCTTCTTCTCGTTGTCAAAGTGACAAAGTCAACAAACCGATCCGTCTTCGCGCGCTGTCGTCATCTACGCTGCTAACCTTTTGACGCCCGAGGATCACGCAGGACATCGCGTCGTAGACCTCAGCAAAAGTGCCGCGATATTGTGCGAAGATTATATATTCTTACCATCGCTGCTTATATTAATATATATATATTAATATTTATAAATACGTATATGATAATATTCATTTAAATATTCCTACAGCCGACGTCTCTGCCGCCGTATATGCCTCGTGTATAATGTTCCCCCCGCCCACAAAACACGGCTATACCTCATGCATGATACGTTTACGTACTTAAGTCCCTTTACATGTATATATACATATATATATTCTAATTACTATTAAAACTTATATATTAATACACTTTATTCTCATTAAGAGATATATAGTGTATTCATTCCGATTACGGGGGATGATTCTAGTATCGTCATTTTTCGTCAATACCTCCACGTTGCGCGCCTGCTGCTTTCCTTGGATGTGGTAGCCGTTTCTTAGACTCCCTCTCCGGAATCGAACCCTGATTTCCCGTTATCCGTTACAACCATGATATTGATATTAACTACTATCATAACATGAAACTAAAAAGTGAAAAATAAATATAGTTTAAAAAAACTAAAAAACACGCTTTTAAAGCACATCGAACTAAAAAGTTAAAAATAATTTTTAAAATTAACTTAAAACAATAATGAACGAAAAATACTAGTATTATTGTGAAAAAAATCGTGGATGCTTTATACCATATTTTTTGTATATTGAGCGCCTGACGTTTTTTTCACAATAATACTAGTATTTTTCGTTCATTATTGTTTTAAGTTAATTTTAAAAATTATTTTTAACTTTTTAGTTCGATGTGCTTTAAAAGCGTGTTTTTTAGTTTTTTTAANTTAGTTCGATGTGCTTTAAAAGCGTGTCTTTTAGTTTTTTTAAACTATATTTTTAATTTTTTGCATACATGAAGATTTTCACGCCTAGTTTAATTTATAGTTTGTCATATATAATAATTCTTTGAAAATTGAATTTTAACGGAATGATAGAAAAATGACATATAATAAAGCGATTTTTGATTTTTTTTATAAATGTGAAATGGCGTTTATTCTACGCTTCCTACATCCATTTGTATTTGATAATCGGTATAAACAAATGTGCGTATTTATACATTTATATATGTAAATTATTTCTTGGTAATATCAATCACAAATTTTATACTATCCAAGTATCAATTCATTTAGTGAACTCTTATTACTTGCTTCATTGTGCATTACAATGTTACACTGAAAGTTATATTTCTAACTATTGTGTTGTAATCGGTATACTTGGATATTAAACTTTACTACTTCTTGTGTATTTTATGAAACACGCGATACACAGTCACTAATATTTTAGTAGGTTTTATATGGAGTGTTTACTTCCGGAGATTGAAGATCCTCATTTCCCTAAAAGGTTACTCAATTCGGATATAAAAGAGCCAAAAAAATATCAAAACAAGACACAAAAAAAAAAAAATAGAAAATAATTTAAAATTTGTTTGATTTTTTTTTCGCTTCCCTACCAACTATTTACAAGGCAAATCCGGTCTCGCTGAAAACTAACAGATTACTGTTAAGGTAATTGCCCTAGATAGCTACATAAAAAGAAATAAAAAACTTTTTTTCTCTATTCTAAGATGAAAAGAATCGATTTACAATCAGCTAAAATTCAAATAATTCCTCATCAATTTCAATTATATCTAACGTTTTAACTTAACTATGTAACAAATACATACATATTACTAGGTATTATTATTATATATCATGTCATATAAAAAACTACACTAACGTTTAATAAGCGCTAGCGCATTCGAAGAATATCATAATATCATAATATCTTATATTTTATATATTATTATAATTGCATATTCATTTTGTTTTATATTAAGTGCGCTTTAACGTCTGTATCAATGAAAATAATATGTAATGCACACCGTAAAAGTCAGTAGTAGAATAATATGACGTTACAAAATAATATTATGTGGTCGAACAGGTGTGCATACACTTTCAGGAATGATTGTCAGAAGGTGATTGTGGAGTTTAGTTGTCAAACATCTAAAAGCGCATTCTCTTGGTTATATCGTTGTTTCGTTTGCTCGTATGGCGTTTTCTCTAGATTAGAGATGGGAAGTTTAATTCATTTCTGTGAATAGATCATTAGTTCATAGTTCATTCAAGTGAATAGTTCAAATGAACTATTATTAAGTTCACTAATTTTATTGATCATGCTGATATTGTTTGGCAATGAACTATTCATTTTATCACTATTAGTACAGCAGTACACAGTTCAGTTGTAGTTCACACTACTTATGGGCAATTAAGTTATAAACTAACCTTAACCTGAACATCATAAACTAAGAAAAAATTATTATCAATACCCTCATGGCTCATGTTATCATTATCACCTAATTCAAGGTAGATATATTGACCAGTAGTCCTAAGTTAAATCAGAAATCTGATCTAATATTTGTACATTGTATAAATTTATTTTATTGTTAAACAGTCAAAAACCGTGTAACATTTTAACAATATAATTTATTTGTTATCTAATTGTAAACAGCTATTAACCATTTACAGGATTTCGAACAACGAACCACAGAGAATTTTTAAAGAAGTTCGCGAACTATTTCATTTATACATTGCTACCAATTTTTTTCGAACTGTGAACTGTTAAGTTACAGGTACTGAAACAGTTCGAATAGTTCATCTAAGTGAATAGTTCAAATGAACTATTCGTTCACGAAATTAACATCTCTATTGTAGGTTTAATATTTCTTTTGCGTTCAGTATAAAATTATGACCAAAATGAATAGTTCACTAGGAGCGCTGATTATCCTTAGAAGACCAAAAAATCTATCCATTGTGAATTAAATAGGATTCAACTATGGTTTTTTATTTTATTATATAAATGATGGATATTTCGGACAATTAATAAAAGGTAGATAGTAAGAAATATATTTTTAGATAATTTATAAACAAATTAGTTATCATGTAAATATTTTCCTTCTTTTATTTGTAAAATAACGAAGAGTCATACCAGTTATTTCTATTATCCACTTAGCCAATTATTATGAGTAATTCTACGTTTACATTAAATTGCTTGTACATATTTAATGTTAGATATTTATAGACTAAATATTTATATAATTTTATTAACAGTATTTTAACATATAAAGCAGTTATATCACTGTTATTAAGAGTTTTATACAAAGACAACATTTTTTTGAGAAAGTAATAATTGTTATTTTGAAAGTAACAATAACAGTTTGTAACAGTTATTAAGATTGATAACAAGTTGCCATCATAATTTGTTTCTTATCATAATCTGATTAATATTTTTATCTTAAATGTGATATTAAGAAAGTAGTGGTGTAGTTCTTAAGCTTTGTGATAAGTAATGTGTTGTGGTTTTTCAATCCAAACGTAGTTTGTTAACACAGTTGTTACTGTTTATATTGTTTCCTATGCTATGTACGAATTGCAGACGTTGTGGCAGGTGCTGCGTTGTCATTGTAGAGTGTGATCTCATTAATAGAATGGTGTAAGAATAACACTAAATGATTCATAATTATTTGCAATAATTTTGTCATGACGTGGTACACTTTTCAAATGGTTTTTGTCTTTGGTGTTTTTTCATTTTTTTAAGATTGGTGTTGTTTTTAGTTGAACTTCAAAAGAATGTCATCATATTTTTATGCAGATTATGAATATGTACTTTCTGTATCAGCAGCAGTATCTACATATATTCAATTTTTGTCTGGATTGTGAGTATCCATTTAAAATTATTTAAATTCACAGAAATCATTCTGTAAAATCAGTGTTCATTCAAATATTAACAGTATAAAATTTACTTGTTTTTCAGTTTGATTTGTTTAAATTTTATGAAAAAAGGAAAAGTTATTAATGAATCAGTATTTCCATTTATCACTGGATTTCTTTCGTAAGACATTCAAATATTTAATTGGTTGTATTTTAAGATATGAATACTGCCTAAAGTTTTGTTGACTAAGTTATTAATCCTCTAGATACACCTCTGTGTGTGTATTTATATTTTATTACAGTATATAAAATTTAAAACAATGTAATACATTGACAAAGTTTTATTTAAGTCTCAGAATGGAACAAATAAAATAAAGTTAAAATGTTAATAAAATAAAAAATAATGGTGATTAAAGTAGTATATTATTTAAATTATAAACTAAAGTATTTTAATTTTATTTTATCTAATTTTATTTGGTCAATGTATTATATAAACATTGACGGTTGAAAATAAAAATTTATTTGATTTATTATTTTAGATGTTCATTGTGGTTATACTATGGGGTTTTAAAAACAAATGGTACAATTATTTTTGTCAATACATTTGGTTGTTTACTATTTTTGATGTATACCAGTATTTATTTCAAATATTCACCTAAAAAGGTAAGATCTTTTAAATATTTATATAAGTATTATAATTGATGCTATAAATATGTAATTAGCGTAATTATAAACAATTTGAGATGAATTATTTTAGTTTTTAAACTATATTTTTTAATTATAATATTTATTTAAGCCAAATAACATTGTAAATAAAAATATATGTAATATATAATATATGTAATATATAATATATGACACCTTCCTTAAAAAGCATAGCTTGTGCCTGAGGTAAGTGAGTAATAGTAGCATATTATTGAAATTAAACGATTTTTAGAAAATTTTTAAAGGAAAATATACTTTTGAATTTTTCAAAACTTATAATTAACTTATTACAGATCATTATAACAATATAAATATAATTAAATTTGCCAGAATGTTCATTACATTTAACAGCATTAAGATTAGATATTTATTATTATAAGATTAAATTGGTTTATATTTAGCCAAATTAGTTTTTTAAAAATATAATAAATATTTTTAAATTATAAACTATATAAAAATGAAGTATGGTACAATATTGGATTATTAAAAAAAATTCTTTAAAATATATTAAGGGTTAAATGTGACTAGCTATGTTCGAATAATTTGTGCTACTCATATATAAATTCTATAGTCCAATATTTTTAATTTGTGTAAATATGTATGTCAAGATATTTTATACAATAGGTATATTTTATGCTTATACATGAACAATTACCTTTAGCAAGATAATTGTAACATTAATAAAAATGAATTACAAAAGTATCCAAATTATATCTGTATATGTATAATTAATATGAAAATATTTGTAATTAATTTTCAATATTAAGTTCCAACATATTATATAACCAATCTTTTACTTTAAACAATAAATAAAAATATCACTTAAAGAATTTAAATTTGACTTCATAAGCAACCAAGTATTATCAGCAAAATGTATTATTTTACAAAGAACATCTAAACTAAGTAGTCCATTGATATAAATTAAGAAAATTATGTGATCCAATACTGTTCCTTGAGGTATGCTATGCTTAGTTGGAAGCACATTACTAAAGTATTTATCAAGCTTAATATTTTGAGATCTATTATCTATGTAGGACAAAAATAACTTTAAAAATATTCTTCTAATGCCACAAAACTTTGCTTTTTTATAGAATATTATCAACTGAGTCAAATGCTTTTTTTTATATTTAAAAATATACCAAATATTTTTTAATTTTTATCTTAGTTATCATAAACAAAAATAGAAAATAGCCTTTATGTGTCAGAAATAGATTTACCATTTAAGAAACCAAATTGGGTTAGAAGCAAACAATTTATTAGAATTAAAAATTTTCAATGACTTACATTTTAAACAATGTTGAAACAGTTTAAATATAGACAAATTAAAAAAAATTGGTCTATTACTTTTTACAAAGATATTTATCACCAGATTTAAATAAAGAAACTACAATTGATTATTTAATGATGTGAGGAAAACATTTAATTTAATTGATAAATAATTAACGGAATAGATGTGATATTTTTATCTACCTTTAATATTTTCTAATATTTCTCTTGAGATTGCTTAATATTTTACAATTGATTTATAAATAGTTAAAATAGTATCCAAATAGCATAAATAATGGTACATCAACTATTGTATTTTTGAAATTAAGTTTTGTATTTGATATAATCATTTAGTTAGTACAAAATCTATTTAAAATATTCAAAATTTTTCAACATGAAAAATTTATTATTCATCATGAAAATATAATTTACTTAATATTTTAAATTTATCAATTATAGTCATTGGTAAGAGATATTTAGTTGAAATTTTTTATTGTTCTGAATTTACTAATATTTAAAAAAATATTAATTTTAAAATCGTTAAAAATACATATCTTCAATTTATTTTTCTAATTTTTAAATATATTAATTTAATATTTTTTGGTTATCTGATACATAATTTTAAATTATTTTATCACAAAAAATAATTGTCATAATTACTTGTAAAATAAACAATTAATATCTTTTCAAATTTTATTATTTGAAGAACGTAACAAAACTTGTGACATTAATTAATTGGCAATTTGTTTTTGAAATCTTATAGAATTATGTCGTTAACTTGATGCTGTTGGCTGTGATAATAATTTTATTAGTGTACACAGATGTACAAACAGAACAAGTTTCGGAGAATGCTCTACATCGTGTTGGTTTGGCATGTTGCATCATGACAATGCTATTTTTTGCAGCTCCTTTATCAAATTTAGTAAGTCATTAAATATTAAGCTTATAATTTTGAAATAATAGAAATTCTTCAGAAAATAATTTTGTGTTCAGTGATTGTTTAGAAGATTTGTAATTTAAACCAGAAAAAATTGGCGATCAAACTTAGAATTTATTAACCTCTGAAAATTAATTATTTTAATTTATAGAGATTAAAAAAAATGTATTCTGTTTAATTATAACATTAATACTATGTATTAATATTTAATATTGTATACTAGTATACAAGATGAGTCACAAAAATATGATAAGTAACATTTTGTCCAAAATCATTGTAATTTTTTCTTTTAACAATTTTTGCATTTTTAGATTATGTTAAAAGTATATACTTTTTGTTTTTCTCTAATAAGAAAAAATAAATAACCTGTTTTTCGAAATGTCATAATATGCATTTTGTATCCTCTTTATTGCACAAATTTTAATGGATCAATAATAACTTTAAAATAAGTACTTGTTGAATTACTAACATTTTAATGTATATACGGGTATGTAGTGCATATGCACATGTAAAAATTGTACACGCCTGCATTACATATCCACTCTATGTATAAAAGTGCTTGTAATTCAATGAGTACTTATTTTAAAGTTGTAATCTATCCATCAAAAATTTTCCCGTGAAAAAGGCTAAAAAATTGTTATTTGGAAATTTCAATAAAATCTTAAAATTTTATTGTTTAAAACAATAGTTTTTTATATATTTTCTTAATTATTTAAAATTTCTCCAGAAAATTTTATTTTATTTTAGTACTATACTATATAGTCTATTAACCACATTTACTGAGTATTCACATATTTTGTTAAATATAAAACAAGTTTCCTAATTAGTTAAAATAAAACATTAAATTATCTTAACTTTCAACTTTTTAACACGTTAGTGTTCAGCATTGAAAAAAGTAAAATAAAAACATTCATAAAATTATGATTAACAATTTGAAAAAAAACCATGTTGAATAATAAAAATTTAAACTTAAATACAGATTTTTATTTTTACCAAATTATGTCTGGTCAATATTTCTTTGGTCAGTTGACTAATTTATTGATCATTCAATTGAAATTGTGTCAACACTAAAGATAAATAAGCATAAAAATAGTTTTAACGTAACATAAAAATTAAAAAATTATTAAAATAAAAATTTTTTTTGGGATTTGTCATATCTTCATAACGCACTCTGTATAACAATATATAGATAACTTAGCTGTTCAGCTTTTTATTGATACCAGATATAAGTTAATTAATGTTAACCTTTTTCATCTTTTTGAAATAAATAAATTTCATAACTTTCTAAAATTTCAGGTTCATGTAATAAGAGTACGGAATAGTGAATCCTTGCCTTTGCCATTAATCATCATGACATTTCTAGTTTCTACTCAATGGCTAGTATATGGAAAAATGTTACGCGATAAGTTTATAATGGTAAGCTTATGTAATATAAGAATGAATACTTGAATATGAAATACTATTTTTTCATACTTATAGCTATACATGAGTATTAAAAAAAGAATACACCTGGCATTAAAAATAGAATATACTTAATTTAATTCTTTTAAAGAGCCAGATTTATATTATTAGAACATTTATTATTATGTTCTTAACTACTTATATTAATTATTTATATTGCGATTTGAGGACAGTTGATGTGAGCGTAGATGATGTGGCAGATCGTGTTAAGTGGAAGTTTAGGATAAGGATGGCCGACTCCAAGTAGTTGGGATTAAGGCAAGGAAGAAGAACTACTTATATTACACACTCTGTATTTTCATTTACTGAATTCTTTAAACATATTAATTTACATTGAGTAGAATTATTACATTAGCATCTCCCTATATGCTACTTAATATGTTTACCAAATTGAGTAAATGAATGTATAATGTGTATAATATAAGTGGTAAGAACATAGTAATAAATGTTCTTACAATATATTTAAACAACCTTTACTACAATACTATAGATCTTTTAATTATTTTTATTCAAAAACTTTTAAATTATTAAAAGTGTGATTATACCAAAATGTTTGAGAAGTCTAACTTCTTTCTTCCTTATAAATATACTCCTTTAAAAATACAGGAAATTTTCATCATACTTTATAGGCTAAGCCTTTCTGGACTGCTCAGATTGTGCCTATGAATATTTTTATATATAGCTTAAAAAAAATGGTAGCACAGTGGGGTCGAGGCACAGTGTAGACAAGGCATAGATGGGACAAGTATAGATGATATTTGACAGTGATTAAAATCACTATCATAAGAAACGCTTCGATGCAAATCTGTTGATAGTGTTTCATTTAGAGAAATTGGTGGATTATTCCAAAAGCAACATGAACTCTTATTTCTTTGATTATATCCCAATTAGTAATTCTTTGATTTTAAAATATAATATATAAATAAATACTAATTATAATTATTAAATTTAGTATGAAAATAAAAAAGTAAAAAAAAATTAATAAGTTTAATTTCTTATGTCTTATGACCTTTATTCTATGTCAATTAAATTATATAATATTCATGAAAGTCAATATATTCTCCTAATAAGATATTTTAAAATAAAATAAAATACAAAACCTAGAATTTTAATAGAAAAATATTTTTTTAGCATATTTTTGAATACGGTAGCCATTTGCGCATAGAAGATAAAGTGTCTGGACAAATTAATTTTTTTCATTTTGTAGTGCATAAAATAAGCTTTAATTTGATAAATGTTTAAAGGACGCAGTATTTCCGGAACATTTTCAAAAATTATGTTGAAAAAGTTAGTTTTTGTAAAAAAGTTGCTATTTTAAATCTCCCCCGATGAGCAGGTTAAGTGTTAGATTTTCAAAAAAATGATATCAAATGAAAGGGGAATATCTAAGGTTTTAGTATAAAAAAAAATTATGTTGATTTGTCGATTTTTTAAAAAGTTATGGAATTTTTAAGAAAAAAAAGTGAAAAAAATGACAAAATTTACCGATTTTTAAATTTGTAATTTTATTGGATAATTCCCCCATTTGCGGGGAACGAGGGAAATTTTTTCAATTTTTAAGGGTAATGTCTTCAATTAGATACGATTTGTGATCTTTTGACGTATTGTTGAAAGCAATCGGTCCAGTGAGAGCTAAAAAAAAGTGGCAACAGACATAAAAAAAAAACACATAGTAAAATTAATACCTTCTTAGCTTTGCATCGAAGCTAAAAGTAATACATATTAATCAATTTTTTATGTTTTGTCAAATACACTTATAAATTACCTAATTTTAATACAAATAAATAATTTTTGTATAAATATATTCTTAAGTGTTAAAATGAACAAAAAACAACATAAATGCCTTAAGAATCTAAAGGAAGTAAAATAAGTTTGATTTATGAATTCTCCATTACATAAATTGAATTTTGTGCTTAGAAAGCATCATCTAAAATAATCTTAAAAAAAAATATATCATATGCATTGAAATCCAGGCCGTAGTCATATTAGTTTCAAATTTTGCACAACTTACTATTAAAATGAAAACATTTTTTTTTTTGAAACAATGCTAATACTTATTGAGTACATATGTAGCTGTTTACAAATGTTTAATTATTTTATGATAATAGTGAAACGAAAAGTATTATTTACTTAAAATATAAAGGCATTTAGTTTACAAAAATAATTATTTACTATTTTATTTATCTTTTCTATCTATTAATTATATGAAATTACTGTTTTCTGTTTTAGTATCCAAATGCTGTTGGATGTGCACTTTCAGCTATACAATTGATATTGTTCATTGTATATCCTAGAAAACCATCTGACTTAAATTGTAAATTAATGGATGCTTAAGCTATTCATTTTTTATATCTGAAGACGAAAACATTAATTTGTTTCTGTTATCATTATCCCACCTAAAGTATATATTTTTTTATATACCAATTGATTGTGATATTAATCAATAATCTTTTATAAATTACAATATGCTAGCATATTATTATTAATAAAAGTTATTCAACATATTATAAGTTTAAGTTCAAAAACAAATTATAATAAGGATAGTAGATTTTAATCATCACATGTTATAGAAAAATTGTATTGTGATAAAATTGAAAGAATTATAATCCTTAAGTATATTTATTGTTATAATTAAATTTAATCATTATTAAAAGAACTAATTTTTGTCTTGCGTTTCGTTTTAAATCTAGTACACAAATAGACATTTTATTTTTGTTGAAATATCATTGAAACAAAGTTGTTATTAGAGTAATCTTGCTTAAACTAATGAAGTGAGAATAAATCATGCTATCGTTTTGAAAAACGTAGCCTTTTTTATTGTTTTTAATATTATTATATAGTAATTATATTTTGTAATTTTTTTTACAGTGTAATATAATAGTTACCAAGGTTTACTATTTTTATTGTTAAAATTGATTTGTTATAAAATAATTATTTGATTAAGTAATTCACCAAAAACTAATTTTTAATTAAGTAGTGAATTAAGATTAATGTGACTAAAAACATATTTTAGTTAAATAATGTACTTATTTATGTATTATATCATTTATGACCATGGTACCTGGAATTCTGTAGCTTTACTTTCCTTAAATAGGTCTCTAACTTGAAGTTAACCAGTATTATTTCTGATCTAAAATGGTATTTACATTTTTATACATGATCTCTCAAATTACATTCCTTAATTTGGAAAAATGTATTTTCTTAATGTATTCTAAGAGTAATAAAAAGTCATATTTTTATATTAGACATTCTTTCATTGAATCAATTAAATATGTTAATTTTTATTTCTACTATTGTCTTATTGATTCGTCTTATAGTTATAGACATGGTGTTATTTATTTTAACCTTATATTCTAATAATTCTAAAAACAACATTAAATCATGAATGTGTTGAACAGTATAGTTACAACCACAAGCCTGTAACTATCGCTCTGAAGATGGAATCTGCAACGAATATGAAACATCATGTTATAACTGAAAATGTGAATACATCCGCAAACATTTCAAGCAATACATTAAATCAATTGACAGAAATTGTATATTTTATATTTGTATGGGTTTGTTTTTAAACATACTGCTTCTATTAATTTCAAACTATTTAACAAAACTTTACATAGATGAAGTTTGAAGAAATCTTTTGAGGGGAATTTTAATTTTTTCATCCCTATATTTACATTTATAGTATAACTATTTTTACTACATAAAAATATTATATCCTACACTTTGAAATTAGTTCTATAGTTGAAAAATTATTGTTTTTAAGTTATATATATAATGAATATAAATTATTATTGCAATTAAATTTTGAAATATCAATTTGATCTTTAGTAACTATCATCTAATTGCTGTAATTAATAAGTATTCATAAGAAATAGATTAATGATGATTGTAAAATCTGAGAATTCAATTAAGAAAATAGTTATATAATTTTATGATTTTGTTGAATTATCATGATTGTAATCTTAATGTACTTTGCAATAAACACAAATAACTAAATAAAAATATAAGATATGTTTTATCTACTTATGTAGCAACTTAATTAACTAAGTACTTTTATTATGGATTACAGTAATCATAAATAATTAGTAAATGCTAGTATACAAAAATATATAACTTATATCAGAACATAATCTATTAGTTATATATAATTATACTCAACTATATAAACTTTTTTTATATTTTGCATAGTTGAAGGCGATAAATTATATGAAAAGAGGTTTAATTATATTTGAATACAACAAAATATTAAGTATTTTAATATGCTTTATTTAATACATTTTAAGTAAAAAAAAATTTTTATTTGTAATAGAAGAAAAAGTTTTTATGAAGTTGACACTAAATCTTGAATGATTTCCAATTGTATAGAATTCATTGCCATAGTAAACTAAAAAAAATGTAATATTTTACTTAGACTTTTAATAAAAATAAATAAGTAACAAATACAATTATATACATATTAATAAACTCTTAGAAATTTAATATTCCTAAAATATGATTAATGCATTTAAAACATTTTTAATCATCATTTTTAAAGATCATTTGTTATCATACAAAATTTTTACAATTTACCTTAGAAGTCCAAATGTAGGTCCTCCAGGTTCTGGTCCTTTTCTAAAACCTATAAATAATTCCAACATAATAAATACAAAGACAGTTATCACAAATATTAGTATTATGACACTAAAGATAATAAAATAAATAAATCTTATAGAATACAATATTTTGATATGTGTAATTGAAATAAAATTTTTGGATAGTCTAACTTAATTCCTCTCTTAAAAAAAAAATTTCTATAAAAAAATAATGATAATTTTCAATATTTTTGGGCATCAAGTTACCCTAATAAATATTTTTGTACATAATATAAAGAAATACAAAAAAATAGAAAAGTAGTAATACATATAAAAAAATTGTTGTCACTTTTCCGAACACACTTTTAATTTACATAATATTAATATAAAGAAATAATATTTGCATAAATATTCTCTTAATTGTATTAAAAAGACCCAAAATCGAAAAAAATTGTAATAGATGCAAAATAGAAGTTTCATTTATGAATTTTTTATTACATAAATTTTGTGCTTAGAAAACATTTAAAATAGTACTAAAAAATTCAAATTTTTTTAAAATCTGTGTCTTAATTATAAGCAATTAAATTAAATCATTTTTTTTTAAAATAGTAACAAAAATATAGAAAATATTAAAAAGAAGTTATGATCCTAAGTTGTTGATTGTTTGAAAAATATGATAAATTACATTATTAAGGCGTTAACAAAATTTTTATTGTTTAAACTAGAATTTAATAAATTATTATAGGACGAATTCATTATTTAATGAACAGTCAAGAGTTTTTCATCTTTTAAAGTTATTTATTAAATTATATTTTGATGTCACAGTCACTAATTTAATATATATTTGTTCTTTAGAAAATTCTCCATGGTGATAATTTAAAAATATTTAAAACTAATTAATACATCAATTTTAATTTATAATATTATATTTAATATTGGTATTTTTGAGATGACATTTAATGATATATAAATATTGTAGTATTGGGGTTGGTCTTTTTAGATATTATGTATGATATAAAAACTACTAATATCCACTTATCACAGTCAAATTAAATAATTTTTTAGTTAAAAACTCAATGGTATTCATTCATTAGTAGTGTTAATTCACTAGTGTGTTACTTTACAAATATTTAAATTCTTAAAAAAATGATTAAGGTTTTGCACATAGATATGAATTAGATTCAACCTATGGTTAAAATTACATAAATTGTTTAGTACTGTAACCAAACAAGTTTTTAATTAAGTGACTTTATAGGCAAATTTTTTTTTGGGAAAAAGAAATATAGAACATCAAATAAATATTTTAACCAATTGTTATGCACATAATGAAGACACGAAGAAATAAATTAATCAACTTTATTTTGAAACACACAAATTGAAAAATAAAAGTAGCTCTAAACAATTATCATTTGACTTACCCAAATAAATAATAACGGGTATAAATGAAATATGGTAAGTTAGTTTTGCGAGATCTACAATAGATTCTAAGCGAGCTTTTATTCCAGGTTTAATGACACCCATTGTTTGTATACGTTATATACGACTAAATGTTTCAAAAATAAATTTTAATAAGAAGGAATTAAAATTTTTAAACTTGAAACTCATACAAAATGAAATATTGCTATTAAATCCAAATGTCGGTATAAAAGTTAAAAGCATGTGATTATCTATCACTAATCGGAACGTGATAAGAGGTAGTCAATTATCAAAATTATATTGCTTTGCTAATTTTCCTCAGCTGATATCAAATTATAGCACAGATAAGATATCTGTGATTATAGATAGAATATATATCCACAGCTAATATTTTTAGACGAAACATTTTCCCCGATGACTGGGTAGTGCAAGTCGGATAGTGAAGATATTTTTTTCTTTAAGAATGAGAGAGACGATCATGCTACAGACTATATAGTGTGCAAATATATAATAAAACATATTTTATATTTTTGATACAGTTTATGAGAATACCTATCTATAACGATTGCTAATATTTACAAACACGAAGTTAATTTAATTAAAATCGTGTTTCTTTTTTGTCATTTAGTTTTTTTTATATAAGGGAGAATTTAAGTTAGATCCCCTAAATATTTTGTTTAAATTGCGTCATTTGTTAGTGGTCAATTAAAATTTATATTAATTATAATTTATAATTATAGTTTTAATTGTAGCATATTCGTTTATAGCATATATTTAAAATTACGTCATATTTAGAAATTACTTCATTTTTGTAAGACTGAATAAATATTTGATTTAATCTGAATATTTAATATTTTGATTTACACTTGGTTGTCAATGGCTTATTTAAAAATTATGTTAGTAAAATTTTTGACAAAAACGAACTAAATGCATAGTTATGCTAATAATTCTGTAAAATGTATTGTGTATGAAAGTGGAACTTAAATGTCCCATATTAGAACCGCTAGATTATTTTTAAAAAATGTATAACTTTTTTGGAATATACCATCGATATTTTCCTTAAGGTGCCAATAATTTTATATTTTACTTTATGACAAGAAAAATAAATGCATAAATTTGAAATTTAGTAAACATTATAATATTTTTCTATACTTTTATAAAATATTATCTAATAAAATTAAAAAATGCTGTATAAGTTGGTAATCCTGGAGTGTGGCTTTTTGTCGTTTTTTAAACTATGTCTGATGGTATTTTCATAGGTGGCTATTTGTCGTTCCTGTGTAGCATCAGAAAGTCAGAATTAAGACGAATTCTATGAAGTGAATATTTAACTTCAAACATTCTCTATTGATTCACATTTTTGTTTAATTGTGATTTAGTTAAAAATGCCGAGGCGTATAAGAAAACAACCTCCTGATGGTTGGGAACTAATTGAACCTACTATTGATGAGCTCGAGAAAAAAATGAGGGAAGGTAAATTTAATAAACAATTGATTAACTATTCCTCATTTTGATATTAATTAATTTAAATTTTCATATTATTTATTATTGCCAAACAAACATTTTTTAATTTTTATTTATTTTGGATGAATTATTTTATAACTGTATGAAATAATTAATTTTAATTATATGGCGATTCAAACCACTTCTTACTGTTACTAGGTTTATTAATTTAAATTGCCTGTTATGTGTTCTAAGAAATATATAAAATTATTACCCTATGTAGTTACTTATTAAATTGATTATACTTCTAATAATGATTACCTTCAAGTGTTATCTGGTCTCATCAGTAATAAATAAAGTTAAGCTCCTAGATGATTTTTTTAAATGAATTTGTTTATTACTGATGACGATCAAAAATAGTTAAAAAGTTAAAATTCATTAGTTTGCATATGATGCTGTTATTGGATTGCAAGTATTTCATTAATATTCTTCTGAATGTAATTTTTGTCAACATTTTACCTTTATAAAATGTTAAGTAAAGTGCTTAAATTAGAAAAACCTTCTACTTTTTTATTTTTGACTAAAGTATAATTATTTGGTGTTTTTATAATAATGTGCATTTTGCAAACAAGTATTATTGAACAAATAATACTTAAAATTTTGGTGTCACCTACGTAGCCTGTTCTAATGACCAATTTGAGAACTTTTGGGATAGAGCTCACATACTCAAACCTCCAGAGGCATAGAACTCTAGCTTAATTTCAACCTATTAAACTTGTTGGACTGAAAGGTACAGTGACCCAGTAAGTCTGAACTGCTACATGAAACGGCATAATGGTTATCAAAATTCTATCAGTAGTGTTTTACATTACTTAAAATTGCATCTTAAAAATATTTAGTATTACATAAAAATTGTCTTCCACAAACTAGACTATAATTAATGTAAAAATTAAAAATAAATAATGTCTGACAAAGAAATAAATTTAATATAATATTCATTTGTTTTTAATATAGCTATAGTAAAATGTTAATATTATTCTTTTATTTTTATAACTTATAAATTATAAGAATAAATGCTTATTAAAATGAAATGTAAATTAACAAAATAATGACGTGTATTAACAGCCTTAGAACAATATTATATGCATACTTTGTAGTGCTATAAATATTTAACTATTTTTAACCAAAATTTTATTTGTATATTTGTAATCAGCGTAACAAAGAAATTGATTAAAAAATATATAAATAAAAACTATTATAAGTAACCTTAAAATTTTTAATAGTTTATTTAAATTTTGGTAATTGTGATTTATTTTTCTCAAATAACTGATTCAAATGAAAAGTTTTCTGTATTTTTACTTTTTAAGTTGCTTATGTTATTATAATTGATGATTATATTTAAATGAAAATTGTAATTTTAGTCTTACTAGAATTTAAATCACTTAATTAATGTTTTTATAAAATTTTTATAGCTGAAACTGAAACACATGAGGGAAAAAGGAAAGTAGAATCACTATGGCCTATTTTTAAAATTCATAATCAAAAGTCAAGATATATATATGATTTATTTTATCGTCGAAAAGCTATAACAAGAGGTTTGTCCTTTGTTATATTATAATAAAAATAACAAGTCAAATTAAATTTGTTTCTACCTATAAAACTGTAAGCTAGTAATGAATACTAATTTACTTTATTTTAAATGCTTTGTATTAAAAAAAAAATTAAAGAATTAAGATTTTTTTGTAAGTTTGCTAAATTATACCATATTATCTTATAGAAACTTAAATTTACAATATTATTATATACACCTACTGTAATTTATGTTTTATTTAAATCATTTTAAAAAATAAATATTAATTTTTCTAACTTCGATTATTTTTATCTAGAGTTATATGATTTTTGTATTAATGAAAAAATTGCTGATCCAAATTTAATTGCAAAATGGAAGAAACAGGGTTATGAAAATTTGTGTTGTTTGAGATGTATACAAACTAGAGACACTAATTTTGGTACCAGCTGTATATGCAGGGTACCAAAATCAAAGTTAGAAGAGGTAAACCATTACTAATTAGAAATACATAATTAATTTCATTGTTTTAATATTGATAACAATTACTTCTAATTAGATAATTTTTATAAAAAAAATTATATTATTTTTAATTTTTGAAAATGTTCCAGTAGTATGACTACTTTAATCTTACATCAAATTAAAGTTTCTTAAGAGTACTTAATGATGAAAAACAAAAAATGTACCCATGATATTTTTTCTTTAAGTTATTAGACTTTAAAGCCAGAAATTATAAAAATGTGTTACTTTTACTATACTTATTCAAAAATACACAGATTCTAATGAAATTAGAATTTACACAATATAATTTGCATACTCTACACTTTTCTATATATTATCACTTTTTAATAAAATTACCTTTTTTTTATTGAAAAGTTATTATTAAAAAAAAAAAAAAAAACAGTGGTATATTCATCAATGGTAGTGATCATTTACTGGTTACTCTAAAATGTCTCTAAATAACCTCCTTTCAAAATAGTCTTTAGTGAATTTTAATAAGTTAATTAGAGATATCTTTTTTAAAAATTAACATTCAAATCAATTGAATTGGTTTGATATTTGATGCATTGTTGAAACAAATCTTTTGAAAGGTAGTTTGTATAGCTGAAATAAAACACAACTAAGATATTTACTATGCAATTTTTAATTAAATATAAATATCCATTTATATAAATGGATTATCAATATTGATGGAAGACTTATTAAATTCCCTTTATTCTTTGTTGCATTAAGCAAATGTTTTTATTGTTCTATATGGCTAGCTTTATCTGCATTGTTTTTTTATATTTGAATCTAAAATTTTATGTATTTTTACTTAATGATTAAATTGATCAATCACTTGCCTGTTTAGGGAGGTATTATTTAATGGTGGTTAAATGTAATTATTTATATGTTAATATTTAATTTAATAAAATAAAAATTTTCCAGTTTACATCTGATAAATTTATTTTATTTTAATTTAATGTGCGTTACATATGCCGTTTTTTACTTACTACCTAGTCAAATCAAAACTTTGTTTAAAAAAAGGCTCGAGTCCATTTTTTTGCAATTTAAATTTATAATATATGTGCATTTAATAAATTTTTTTTTTTTTAGGGAAGAATTGTTGAATGTGTACACTGTGGATGCAGAGGTTGTTCTGGTTAATCCTCAATATTAAAATTGTAAATAACAATATATGTCCTTAATTAATTTTATTTTAATTTAAATAAATAATGTAATATCAAAAAAAAAAAAAAAAAAAAAAAATTTTTAATTAGTCATATAAATAATTTAATTTTTTGAATTAATTTTCTAAATTTTGGAGTTTTATTATTGATAAATAGGATTTGTATATTTTTCTTATTTCTTCATATCAAATATGACTCATTCATCATAAAGTTTAAGTATAATATTTTTTATTTTTTGGGCCATTAATAGTATTTACGTACATTTTTGTGGTAATTCTATTATCTGTAATCTTAGTAATTTTAAGATTGTTAAATAGTTTTTTATACTTCCAAATTTTGACAAACAAATATTTTGAATAGATAATTTTTACTTTCCTATTAATATGAACTTTACTCATCTAAATACATTTAGATAAATCAAAATTATTTTGTCTTGTTTGGTTATACTGTTTATTTTATAACAAATTTACTCAAAGTAAAATAGGTTCAAAAAATATTTTTACAGATCAAATGATTAAATAATAAAGTAAAAATTGAAATCGGTATTCGATTTTTTCATTAACTTGAATTATAAAATATCAAAACATATATAAACTCATAAATATATTTTTTCATAATTTCTAATTAATATTCATAGATAAACAATGCAATTGTTTTATTATTGAAATAAAAATACTATACATATATACAAGTCTTAAACTACAATTTATTGAGTTTGTGTCAGGGAAAAATTTATTTAAAATTATTTCAACGATGTCGATTCTTTATATAATATATTTTTACTAACCAAACAATTATATAAGAATATATATACAAGTATGAATATATTTATGAGTATTATTTTATTCAACAAATAATACTCAAAATAATTAACAAATTTCAGTGTATTAGTGAAAAATGTAAATTTAAATACAAAAATATACTAAATTAAAAAAAAATCATTATTTTACGACGTCATGGGTTTAAATACAGTATTTTCAACAAGCTTTAAAAGATCCATTACACTGGGTCTAGCTTTAACATCTTTTATTAAGCAAATTTGTATAGTTTGCATGAGAACAGGAGGTACTCCTTGAGGAAATGTTTTACTATTACTTGGAAAGCTTATATTTTGCTTTGGCTCAGCAATGGCTTGTAATTTTTGCCATGTGTTAGTCAAATGTGAGTATGGTGTCTTACCGTATATTAAGCTATATAAAATACATCCTAATGACCAGACATCTGATTTTTGATTTATCTAAAAATAATAATGATCAATTACAAATACCCTAAAATAAAGTATAAAGCATAATAAAGTATACCTTATGGCCTTGAAAGTTAGAACCTCCACTTTTAATGCATTCAGGGCTCATATAATTCCATGTACCTGTAGTAACATCTTTTAACACACTAGTCATATCTCCTTGAATTTTTGATGCAATTCCAAAGTCAATTAATTTCAACCGGCCACTGACTAAAAGAAAGTTAGCGGGTTTAAGATCTGAATGGATAACACCTAAAACATATAATAGCTTAAATAATCATTCCTAGAATATAGATGTTAGTATAGTAAAAAATATAAAATTAAAACCACAATACTGTTTAAATTATCTAGTTTGTACTTAACTATCAAGTTTTATATAAGTTAAATCTAAATCATTAGCAATTTACATGAAACATTCTCTATTTGTATACAATATGCTTTAAGAACATTTATTACTATGTTCTTACCACTTATATTACACACGTTTTATTTCTATTTATTTAATTCGTAATACATATTAATTAGCATAGAAGGAGATGCTGATGTGACAATTCTACTCGTCTGTAGTCCGGAGCTACTGACGTCAAACTAACAAAGGGCAGTTGTGTTTGAGTGGCCGTTATAGACATAGTTTTCAATATTATTACTTACGTCTTATTTATATTATTTATAACTTAACTTGTTTTATTCAACGACCCGTCTATCGCCAATTGTCATCATAGCCAACCAACTCCGTATCACTTGGATATACCTACTAACCAACTGTACTAGGATTCAGGTCAGACGTATTGCACATTACATATAACTTATATTTACTAAACATCTAAAATTTAACTTTACTTTGTCGTTGACATAGAACAATAGTCTAATTTTATTTAATAATCTATCCCCTGTAACTAAGGTACACAATTGCCTGTGTCTCCTTCAGGCAATTAAAACTCATTTAAGGAGATAGGGACGATATTTGGGCAGACGTCGGGTAGCTTCCGATTCTTAGTTTTGACTAAGATCCTCAACTATTAAACAAGCCACTAACAATGCCATATTTAACAAATATTTTCTGAATCTCATAGGCTAATAATAAAATCTTATAACCACATATTTTAATTAATACATAAAAGATTATAATTTAAGTACAGGAACAAATGAAATTAAGAAACTATATAATTTTAATCATTTAACTTATTTGTTCCATTTATATTAATAAAAACATAAATATTATACCTAATAAGATGGTTTGTAAAGTTAAAAAGAAACTTAAAACTAGAGCTTATTTTTTATACAATATTAACAGAAAATAATTAAACTACCTTTCAGGCAACTTCCTAAATTTTATGTTTTATCTGAATATAATATTTTATTTAATAATAAAAATTAGATAAACTAAACAAAATAAATGATAAAACTTTCTTAAATTTCTAAAATATAAATTATTACCTTTGTTGTGAATTTCATTAACGGTAATTAACATTTCAGACCAATAATACATTATCATATGCACTGACATTCGCTTAGTATTACGAATCAACTTTGAAAGATCTGTATCACCTTTTTCCATTACCATATATAAAATTCTCTCTTTAGTTGTATATTGACTGTAAAAGAAATATTTTAAAAATATTAATCAATTTATAATTTTGTTCCTCTGAAGAAAACTAGCACAAGTTAAGTTTCTTTTAAAAATGTATTTGACGAGGGTGGTTATAGATTTCTAATAATTCTTAGGGTAAATCTTGATAATAAAAAAATAAAATCTACAAATATTGTCAATATACAATCAAATTTTTTTAATATGGGTAGTTTGATGTTATAAAAATTAATATTATTATCAACAACAATTTGTTGTTATTAACACAAAAATTAATTTTTTTTAAATATTTCTTTAAGGTTAACTTTAATTTAAATACAAAATATTTATTTTTAAATAAATGATTTTATACTATTTATGTCATCAGGATTAGTATGTGGAAAATTTTTTTGCTTATCAATATTATTAGTAAAAGGGGACATTACAAAAATTAGGGGAAATCAAAATTTATGTAATTTCCCAATGTAAAAATCATATGTGATAGTTTATATTTGATAGAAATTTCAAACCTGTCAAACAATCGTATAACACTTTCACAGTCTTGTAAATTTTGTAATAAATCTACTTCATTTAAATACCCTTTAGCAATTAAATCTTCAACTTCAGTTAAATCTACTTTCTTAATAGCTACAACTTGATTTGTTTCAGGATGTAATACCTAGTATAAAATACATAAAACTTATTATTCCAGACAATAAGATGTTAAAAATGACAATGTTATAGTCTTAAAGAGATATTTGTTTTATATACTATTTTTTTCATAAAGAAGACAAAAATTTTAAAATCTATTATTTTTTAAATTATTATAAAATAATTATTATTATTCACACAAAAATTTATTTTTTATTATGTTTAATGTTTAATTATTAAACAATTTGCTATATTGAAATTAATTTAAAAGATAAAAAGTTAGTGATTTAAAAACTTGAGTTTTTAAAATAGAAACAAATCATTATTTTATTTGAATATTAAGCAGTTATTAATATTAAATTTATATTATACTGACCTCATATACTATACTTGAACCTCCATGACCAAGAGTATTGAGTATACTATAGTTGATTCCTTTGACACAAATAAAATTTTCATTAGCACATTTTATACATATATTTGCCTGTGTAGCTATGGGTCGCTTGAAATCTCCATCTTGAACAAAAACCACAGGAGTTGGACGAATAGGAGATCTTGCACGTATTGCAAAATTATTTCGATTGGCTGCAGGAGAAAGCTCAAGTGATGTTTGAGATGATGAGCCATCTAATTGGGTTTCAGCTCGCTTTGTTAATGAAGCAAATTCATCAAATTGTTTGTCAAGATTTTTGCTAATTAATGACAAACAAGATGAATCGGGTAAAACATTTGTTTCTCTAACACTATGATATAAACTAGTATCATAATTGTATCTAGAAGTTTCAGGAGATACATAGCAAGTATCTTCTTTAAGGGTACATTTTGTAGTAATATCATAAAAATTGTTATTTTTAATAGTATTTGGTGTTGTAGTAATACTACTTTGTGATAATTTTTGAGATTCAGGTGTTTTTAATACTTCATCTGTTTTTTCATGAAAATTTTCTTTGTTATTGTATAGTGATCGTTTTGTACTTAGTTGTAAGTTAGGCTTAAGGTTTAAATTACTAAACTGAGGGTTCTTGAAAGTATCACTTGAAGTTTCTGTTGAACTATCATTTCTTGTTTTAACTGCAGGACGGACAAATGGTGTATCATGAACTAAATCTAGAAGTTTAAATTCGCTCACTAATTTTTCAGGAGTTCGTAATTGAAATGTTCCGCCTAGATCAGCTTCTACTGTTCTATTTTCATGTAGTGGCTGGTTATCATTGATATGTCTTAAAGATCTACCCTTTTGACCTAATCGACTAATAGAAAAGAATAATTTTTTTAAAAGTTTTAAAAAACTAATATTTTATTTACCTAGTAATAGGTTTCCTTGGTCTAGAAAATTTGAGCTGGAGTAAAGGACAAGTGACATAGTTGTCAGTTTCTCCATCATTGTCATCAACTTTGCTGTACAAGTTGGATTCTATACTATGATTCATAATCACCTTTTGAAATATAATAATTATGTTTTCGAAAAGTGAAAATAAATCATAACTAGTTTTAGTCCTAGAAAAAATTGTTTTTGAGGTAAAATACAGAACACTCTGATTTGATTTGTAACGAATTATTAAGAGTACGATAACTTATGTTTAACAGTTTGACCAACATACGAGTGTTCATTTTTTCATACCATTATGAATATTAATTTAATGATGGTTATAATGCATTAAATAACATATATATTAATTGAATTTTACTTTATTTTATTATTTTAAATTAAATTATAATCCGGAACATTAAAATACAACATTTGATTAAGTATTAGTTAAATATTTCGAGGATATCTGCATCCAGTGTTGTTCATAATGATATTAAATTATATTATTTAAATAGGCAACAGTAGAATATTTAAAAAAAAAAATCATCATTTAACATAAAATATTTAGGGTTTATTCTTTAAAACATTAAAGCAATGTTTTACAGTCAAAGCGAATATATGACTCATTAAATACATTATTACCCGTGTGTTTTGGTATGATAATAATTAAATAATGGTAAAATATGAAAATCAAAACATTTGATAATAATAATAGGATAGAGTGAACTGATAAGACATACATAATGTCAAATAGTAGTTAAATAATATATTAATTATATACTAGTTATAAAAAGCTAAAGCTTAAGCAGAATTTATAAAGAAATTAATTTTATTTATTTATTTTTCTTATAAATTAATGATACTTACTCTTATTTATTTAATAGAACATTAAAACTTTTAATCTTGTTGAAACTTGAAAGATATAATAGAGGTAAATAAATTTGACCATTATATATTTTAAATTTCATGCAGAATGTAGCTTATGTAAAATGTATTAACTTTCTTTGTATAGTATTTTATGAATGCCTAAGAATCGATAATTTTTTTTTAAATAATATAATAAAATAAAATGCTTAATTTAAAAATTATGTGTTTGAAAATATTTGATTAGGTAGAATAATATAATTTATATTGGACTTTCTTTAGTTTTTTTAATCATAATATAGGGTTAATATTCAAATAAAAATACAGCAATGAGATTTAAGTCTAATAATTTCCTATTTTTTCAATAAAAATAGTAAAGAAAGATGCAATTAGTCCTCTCTATTAAACCATAAATAGTTATACTCTTTCTACTTTATACTGGGACTTAAAGTATGATGGTATAAAGGGACTTGGCCCCTATCTCAAGCATTAGTTAACAATTAATCCCTTTAAGATAAATTCAAAATATATTTAGTTGTATGGATTGTTGGATCATTTAATAGTATGGGGGTAATAGTTCCCTCCACACTTTTTTTCTATTTAAAGTCTTCCTCATATTATAAGGTAAATAAACTTCTGATTTATACTATTCACTTAAAAAAAGCAAAGTCAAAATATTTCTAAAAAAAAAAAAATTGACTTTTAACATAGGTTCAAATATATAGTACTATAAAATAAATTGTTAACATTTTTATTTTATTTCAGGAACATATTCTAATACATTAAGGCAAGATGTAATATTGTTGGTAATTTTCTTTACATAAAAAAGATACTTCAATGTACTTTTGGTTAAAGACTAGAATGAAATAATGTTTTCTAGAATTCATCATTACAATATTGTAGTTTTAATTGGATTCATTATTTGTTTATATTATATCTACCATTTAGAATATAAACTTCAGTATACTTTAGCTAAACAAAGTTTATCAGGTTTGTTATTTTGTATTCCTAAATTTATTTTATGTAGTATTATACATTCAAATTTATTTGTATTTAAAATGTTGTAATTTTCCTTTAATATTTTAGGTTATAATAAAGAAAAAATTAAAATAGCAGAAGACTTATACTTCAAACAACAAGATAAAGAAGTTATTGTTATATATAATAGGGTACCAAAAACAGGATCTACTAGTTTTGTTAATGTAGCATATGATTTGTATAAAAAAAATGCTTTCCATGTAATTCATGTAAACATAACTGGGAATGCTCATGTTTTACCCATAGATGAACAAGTATAAAAATAATGAAATATCTTACTTTCTTTCAAATTTTGAGGTGTTCTTCATTTTTCATTTTGTTGTAAATTAAAACTCCTTTAAAATTGATGTTCTTCAATAATGAATATCATTTAAGAGTGTATATTGTTTGTATTATAGGCTTTTTTATTCCTTATAAAATTTATCTTATTTTAGTGGCCTATTTGAACAGCTCAATAGATAAGTTCCGTTACACAAATTAAAAAAAAATTTACTAAAGTATTTTTCATTAATGGCTATTTTTAAATGTAAAATTTATAATCTTAATAATAATCTAATTTATAAAATTTAATCTAATAATCTAAGTACAAATATTCATTTTTACACTATAATACTTCTTTAAAATTATTAAAAAGTGAATTTCTAAAAAATTGAACTTGCCTGATGGCTTCACTTAGCCTATCTCAATTATAGGGTTGCAAAAAGTTGTGCTTGTAATCTTTGATGATATTTGAAGTCATAAAACTATAATTTTATAATCCTTAAAAATATCCATTAATTTAAATATAATTTTGTGATCAACAATTAGTATTTAATTTAAGAAAAAAGGATATTCATTTTAATTTTTTATTTTCATTACAATAATAGGTTCTCATATGTTTTCTTATAATTTTTACAATACTTCATAATAACTCATGTAATTTTGTTTATTAAAATGTTGAATGTAAAGATTATTTAAAAAGAGTATAGGAATTTCAAAATTTATTTTATGAAATCTTATTTAATTTAAATTTTTTATTTTTAAAAGATACGATTCATAAGAAATACAACTATGTGGAATGAAAGAAAACCTGCATTATACCATGGTCATTTTGGTTTTATAGATTTTCATAAGTAATTTTTTAATGAAAGTTATTTTGTCAAGAAATATGTAGAAGTAATTTACTAAATTTAATAATCTGCTTATTATTTTTAGGTATGGTACATCACAGCCACCTTTTTATATTAATATAATCCGTAAACCCATGGACCGTTTAATTTCATACTATTACTTTCTACGTTATGGTGATAATTACAGACCACATTTAATAAGAAAAAAACATGGAGATAAAATAGTAATATAACATTAAATAAAATTTATGAAATGATATCTATTTATAAAATAAGTTATTAAATTATATTCAAATTTTAGTAATATTTATGAAACATATTGCAAGGGGGCTTTTATTGCCCTGCAACATCAATCTGATTTGCCACTTGCATAACGACTAGCTTTGGTAGCAAAGGTTGCCATCACCTAGGCGAGGTGTCATACTTATCAGATATGATTGCCGGACAATAGGTTGAATTTAATTTTGAAGCCTTATCTAGCGGTCAGGAGCAAAAATAATGAGTTGTTGACACCACTGTATCAGAAATAGCTTTATTCACACATTCTCTTGCGCAATAAAAAGAAAAAACAGATAAATAGATATAACAAAAATTAAAAACGATTTACCTTCTAATTTGTGATGTAACGATATTGAAACATTTTTAAGCGTATATTTAATTTTACATTTTCTGTTAAAAATTGAGGAATACCATTAAATTGGCCATTTTGAGGTGGTGGTTAAATTTGGGGCAGTTAAATATCTATTACCATTTAAGCCATATCAATCTACAGTACTAGCATAATGTTTACTAATATTGTTAAGAAACAAAATATTTGTTGACAAAAATTAATTGAAGGAGTCTGTAAAGTATTAAACTGTTCCAAGTTTAATCGTTGGCCCATTTGACGGGAACTTTTTATGCAATTTTCTTTATGGCAAAATTTTGGTTTATTATTGATAAAAATCATAAGATATTACCACATATTTTTATATTTTTAACAAATAATCGTCGATTATTTTAAATGATTTCAAAATACATGACACAATTTGATTTGTTTTATAGGCCAAAGAAATATTTTTTTATTTTAAAACAAAATCTATCACACATTATTTAAAAAATTGGCCACCCAATGTTTTGAAAAAAGCATCCAAATATAGGCATAAATTTTATTATAGGTTTATAACTAACACTCAAGTCTTTGTAAGATCTTACTTTATTAATTGGCATACATTTTGTTTCAATATTATAATTAATATAAATAAATATTACAGATCCAATCTATGTATTACACAGATATTATAAAATTACTCATCATATTTATGTATTTTTTGATTATAGACTTTTGATGAATGTGTAAATCAAAGAGGAACTGACTGCCATCCAAACCTTTTATGGTTACAAATACCGTTTCTATGTGGACAATCAGCTAGATGTTGGTAAGGATACTTAAAAAGAGTTAAATTAATAAGAAATATGTAATAAAATACTTATTACTTCAAAAATATAGTTAGGTCTAGGAATTATATGTATTTATGAATTTTGTTAAGTAGTTTTAAACATACCATCAGATAGCATACATTTTTATTGATTGACATATAAACTTAGTAATGTGTTGTTAATAGATTATAGTTTTCGGCAGTTATTTAAAAAGAAGGGATAACACCACCCTAAAACTATAAATATTTCTACGCTATTATATAATTCTATGACAAAGTTGTATAAATTTGGGACTCTAAAGTTACTTAAACTAAATTTATAAATACAAATAATTTTTAGTCATAATAATAATATTTTTAAACCATCATCATCATCTATTAAAGGCAATGCCTTGTCGTCGAAGCCTACATCATTTAGTTAATAACAGCTTCTTAGTTAGGAATATCATAAAGACTTTTAATGCAGTGGTTCCCCTATTTCCTTCTGCATCCTCATGGTCAATCTTTGAAAGTGATCTCTCACCTATAGGACAAGTGATTGTCCTTCTCTTACTACTCATCCACCCTTTCGGCCTTTGTTTTTCAGAGTTTGCTCCTTATTCCGGGAGTTGGTTGGATCACTGGAATCTTCTGCCTGAGACTTTCCGTTAGTGTAGCTCGGGCCCTGGCTTCGACATACCTATAGTTTATGTAAGCCATATATTCCCCATAAAAATATGGATTAGTACATGTATATAATAATATAATTATTCTCTGATTGAAAGAAATAGAATATTTTTATTGTTTGGATGTAAATAAATTTATTGATATAAATTTTGAATGAAAATGTAATTTAAATTGATAAGTCCATTAATTATTTGAAGTGTTATTAAATTTTAATGATAAAAATATTTAAAATTTATGTTTAATTTAACATGTGCTATATAATGTATATCAATATCAATTAGTATATATAGATAACCTGATATTATATATATTTAATTGATTTATACTGAATTCAATACTTATGTTTTACTTATAAAACTATTTAATAAAATAATGTTTGTTTTTAATAAGGATTCCTGGGAATACTTGGGCCTTGGAAGAAGCTAAACGAAATGTTGTATCAAAGTATATGATTGTAGGTGTTACTGAACATTTATTAGATTTTATTGAGGTTTTAGAAGCTGCTTTACCTAATATGTTTCAAAATGCCTCCATGCATTTTAAACACAGTAAATTATTAGTTTATTTAATTATAAATTAATTTAATTATTGATGAGTCAACTTTAATAGGTTCTAAATCACATTTAAGAAAAACTGTGAAAAAATTTAAACCTTCAGCTCACACTATCAACATTTTTAAAAATTCAACAATTTGGCAAATGGAAAATGATTTATACAATTTTGTATATGAACATTTTCAGTTCATCAAACAGCATACTTTACCAAATACATTAAAAGGTTCATCCAAATTTCGGTATGAAAAAATTTATCCTAAATCAAACTGGCTGTTATTTAAAAATTTAGACTAATTCGTAATTATGAATTAGTTAAATTAATATAATTTTTCTATAAAAAGAAGTCATTAAATTTTATATTATATTGTAAATATTTAAATAACTGTTTATTGTTTATTTTAAGTTATGTTTCATTAAGATAACTTCTAACTATAAATTATTAAATAAATGTATTAACATTTTTGTATATTGTTACTTTAAAAGATTAGAAACCTACAATGTATCATTTGTATCACTAGCCAAAAATGCTAATCAGATTTTCCAGAAAATACTAAAATTAAAGTAGATAATTGCTAGTAAATCAACTTTAATATAATGCACATTAATGGTTCCAAGGGGTCATGACTCTTAATAGATACAATACTATACTTTAATAGCTAGTTTGAGTATTGCATCATTATATAAAATAACTATAAAATAGCTAAGTATAATAAAATTATTTTTAATTTCAAAAAGTTAAATGAATGAATTTTCATATATAATTATATTTATACATAAAAAGGAATCTACCAATGATAACAAATTTAAAGGAAACATTTTAATTTAGTGCTAGTAAAAATAATAACCGTGTAGATGTTTCAGTAACAAATATTTTACAAAATCTAATGATAAAATTTAAAGACTAAAATTTTTTTATCATATAAGTACGAATTAGCGTCAATTATGGATAAGATGAGAGAAAATAGACTTAGATGGTTTGGTCATGTTATGAGGAGAGAAAAATCCGAAACCGTAAGAACAGTTGTAGTAATGAATTTTGAAGGAAGAAGAGGTAGAGGAAGACCAAGAAAGAGATAGAGAGATGTTATTGAATGCGATATGAAGACAGCTGATGTCAGAGTAGAGGATGTAAGAGATCATGTCAAGTGGAAGTTTAGGATAAGAGTGACTTAACCCCAAGTAGTTGGGATTAAGGCGAAGAAGAAGAAGATCATATAAGTATGAATGTCAAAAAAGTAAAATATAAACCTAGCTTTGCATCTTCAATAAAATGATTAAACCACATTAATTTATTTATTGACTAACAGATATAATGTTACAATGTTTTGTGAACTGACTTATTATTTAAACCATTATGTTATTTTGTCTAATACGGCAGTTTTTCCCTATATTAGTCAGTAATAAGTATTTTGTTCTCATCTTATGTCAATTAAGGCTAATGATTATATTTTATTGAAATATACTTAATAAGATGCTTATTTTATTTCAGAATTGTGTGTTAATAAGATTATAACAAATATTTCAATTTAAATACAGTCTCAATAATTTATTCAAAAATAATTTACATTCTAATTAATAAATAATATTAATATAATTTATTTTATAATTATAAAATATTCATACATATAAATATCACAGCCATGCATAAAAATATTATTATATAAATAATTAGTTTATTATATAATAAATAAAGTAGTTTAATTAGGTACTTTTATTTAAGGAGTAATATTATGACATTTAAAAAATTGACCATTAAAAAATGCTATTTTCCTATATAAAATAAAATTTTGCATAATTTTGAAGTTCAAGTTAGTTGATTCCTTTAAATTGTGTACATAATTTAAAGTTAATTTTGAATACTATAACTGATAATAGTTATGTTGGAGGGCTTGAATTTACTAAAACCATAATTTATTACAATTAAGCATGAGTATTAACTAAAAAAGTATTAAGAAAATTTTATTTTATGTATTACCAAAAATAAGAATATGGACATCCAATTACAAATAATTCACGGCCTTTTAAATTTAATCTCCACATTCCTTTATGGTGTCCTCTTGTGTCCAAATCCCAAATTTTTAAACACTTAACAAAATGAATAATTAATAAAATTATTTTTAATGTATATATTTTGGTTAATTTCAAATAATATTAAACATTCTCAAAATAAGAAACTTAATTCATGTATAAAAGTGGGAAATTAAAACATAGCCTCATGTAGTACAATAAAATTTTAATGTATGAACTTTAAGATATAGGTCATTCTTAAACTTGCAAAACAGGAAGTATTAATTTATTAATAATGTGTAACAGTTACCTTTGCAACAGAACTCCATGTAGAGGTATCTTTTAAATTCATCAGTGAAATGTAAAGAATCAATGTTTTATTCTAAAATGATAAAGTTACAATATAAGTATTTTTTTGATATTATGTATTGCAAGTTAAAAAGCTAATGCAGTAAACAATACAAGTTGTATAACATTTTAAACAGTATAATTTTCCATTCACTATTTTCACTAGTTTATTGAACTACATTAGGTTAAATGCAGTTAAGATTTTTTTTTCATTTTCTTAAAAAACACTATAAATTATCAGGGTCACATTTATGGAAAGACATTTAAAGTGTTCAGCCAAAAGAGAGGCTTCTTGAAAAATATAAGTATTATAAAATATAATTTGTGAGAAATAAAATTTGGCTGATTAACAAAAATAAAGTAAAAATTATAATAAAAATAAATATAATATTATAGCAAATATCAGTTATGACAATACTATTAATAACTTTACTGAACAAAAAACTAAAAAGTGATTGTAATCACTTCAATATAGATTAAAAAATATCATTAAGCGACACTAAATCAAGATTCTATAATTAAATAACTGAAATAGGAACCTTTCAATTATTAATCTACTTTAACATGAAATTTAAAATATTTTTTAATGTGAAAATGGGTTACCATTAATTAGAAGACATAGTTTTTCTAGAAGAAATATCAGTTTTTGATTTGCTTAAATGGAAAATGAAAATTTAATTTTGCTTTCATAAAGAGTAAGGAATTGGTTAACACTTCTTTAATAGACTTTTGAAATGTAAACTGTTAAGATATTTATTTTACAGCAGTTAACGTATTGTTTACTCATAAAAGCTTTTTAACAATCAACATATTAATTACTATTGTACAACCTTTATATAAGGTAAAAAGTCGTTATCACAAGGTGATTTCTGGTGATCAAGAATATAACCTACTGAAATTTTTTCCTCAAGCATTATTTTATATTCATTTTTAGTTAATCTAAAAAAAAAAATTCTTTTAGTTATGTTAATGAACTTGAAAAAATTACTTTTAGTTATAAGAAAACAACTCACTTATTTAAATCTTTAAATTTAACATCTTCAATGGTATTAAATGCATGATTCCTAAAATAAACTTCTTGGAAAAATGAATTCATATTAATACCCGAAGAACCAAAATGGTATGTTCTTGATACTTCTGGAACAATACATTCTCTACCTTTTTGAACTTGTGGTAATCTCATCCACATATCCCAGTCCCACATCTAAGTGTTTACATATTATAACATAAAAATAGAAAAGAAAATATATGAATTATTACTTGCCTTTTCTACAGTTGGCCATTCAGATTCAAGTTCATCTTTGAACAAAGATTTCTTTAACATCCATCCTAATCCTGGCATTGAATCGACTCTGTATAAAACATCTGATTGAAAGCTAGTATGTTGATAACCTTGATCATTCCAAGCAGATATACAGTATAAACTATTATCACGCTTTAAGAGATTCACAGTTTGACTAAAAAATCTTTAAAAAAAATATATATATTTTTCAAATAAATCTTTAAAGACATTTATGCCAATTAATAAATACCCGAAAAAGTCCTTAGATACATCTAAATCTTCTTCAATAATAATAGCAACTTCAGAGTCAGGGAACAGATTAAATGTAGCTGTTAATGAAGACTTATAATGTTGCGTTATTCTGGCATTTTTTGCTCCCACTGGCATATGCTGTACTCCTCGTAAGCCAAATAATTTGGTTACTTCCATAGGTTCATCATAGTAACCATCAATAAAAACAGTGATCATGTCAGTTTGTACTCCTTTGATTTGAAGTAATCCTTTTAACATTCTATTCAAATTAAATACAAATAAAAAAAAATTTTCAGGTTGAATATTTAAAAAAATACTATAAAAAATTACTTGAATAAGTAATGTGGTCTGTTACTAGCTATAATTGATACAGGAACATTTTGTAAGTTAGAGTCTTCTAGCTAAAAAATGTAATTATTAATAAATTAAATAAAATGAGTCTGTTTTTTGACGTCCGAAAAAAATATACACATAAAAATATATTTATAATTATTAATAGTAACCATAATATGCTTCTAAAGAAACAAAATGGAAAGCTAATTATAATTAAATAGCTATTATATGGTTTTTGATTATTAATTATTATGTTCTTTATATTTATGAACGAGTTCTCTTTTTAAGTTGATTTTTTTTTATTAAGATTTAACTTAATAAAATAAAATTTAACCGGTAATTTCATCTGACATAAAAAATTAAGCACAAAACACAAGCATATTTTTTTCATTTACTACCCATACAAAGGTCCGTTACAAAGTTTTTTTTTTAAAACAATTATTGAATATACTTACCGCAGGAGGAAAAAAAGTAAGCGGATCAGGATTATTGCAGACACAAATATTACCATATCCTTCAATATTATTACAAAAATGTTTTCTACGAATATTTTCTTCACTATTAGGCCATTTACATTGATGAACTAGGAATAATACATTTCTTATTTAAATTATTACTCAATCAATCCTGAAAACAATTTTTTACTCTTATATGAAGTTAAAGGCACATCAACTCTTAATTGAACATCAGCACCCCATGAACTATGTGATGGGTTTTTACTGTAACCTTCCCCATAAATACGTACACCTTTTTGTAAAACTATTGCCCACATGTCTCTCCATCCAAGAGTTTGAAATTTGTTAGATCCTAATTCTTTTAATACTTTTCTAGCGGTGTCTTTTAAATGAAAAGAACCTTCATCCTGTTTATAATTACATATATATATATATATATATTATTGTATTTTAAGTTTAATTATATTTTTATATCTCATAATAAGCTATCACAACTTAAAAAAAAAAGAAAGACTATTTTTGAAAATTCATTAAATAGTTCTTCAATAATGGTTTTATCTCAATTGAAAAATTACCTTAATTGAAAAAATAATGATTCTTCCTTCGGATACCATGTCTAAAAATGAAACCATAGCTTCATCTTCATGAGTCATATATGTATCAAAAATTCGTTGAGCCATGACCATACCAGTTTGTTGGTTTAATACAACAATATGAATACCTCTACCTTGAAATTTATCATTGTTTTCTATAACCTTTGAAATTAAATATACTAGTATTAGTAATAATCAGAAAATTTTAAATTAAAAATATTACAGTAGCTTCATCAACAGAAATAGAAACTTGCTGATGACTTGATATTACTTCAATAGATATATATTTTATATTTTCTGTTGAAAAATATGGTGAGTGTCTATTATCTATAAAATATGTTTATTATTAGTAGACAATTCATTTATTAAATAAATATTCTCTAATTATGTAATATATTATGAAAATATTATCTATATCATTAATGTCTGCTAATAAAAACTTTAATAAAACTTACTTACCATTAGATTTTGAAAGGTTTTTTCGATTTACCAGAATAATATTGAATACTATTACAAATAAAATAACTACAAAAATTATCTGAAAAATGAAGTTATCTATCTTAAAAAAATATTTCGCAATTTTTTTATAGTGACTTACTTTGATACATTTTAAAATTGATTTCCAACGACCAATTGGTCTAGCAAAACCAATATTTAATAAACTGGCTTTTAGTCGATTTGTATCAATCATCTTTTATTTTTTTAATCATTTTCATTAAGCAAAAAAATCCGCAAATAAACGTTATCTTTCAGCTAAAATAAAATAAACAATAGATCAATAACATAAACCAAAATTAAGCTACCATCATATATTGAATGTTACAAGTAATAAAGAAGTCAATTTGAAGGCAGAATATATAATACTTGAAAATTTAATGCTAAAAGAAACTGAAATTAATAGTAAGAACAAAATTATGATACTATTAATAAAAATAAGGTAATTTTCGTAACCATCTGCATCTAACTGACATCCCGCCGCCGCCAGATTTAAAAATTAGTAACAAATAGTTCAATATATTGAAAGATTAAAAATGTGATATCAAGTTTTTTTGCTTATGATAAGATATCCAATATTATGAACCTTTTTTATAGAGTTGAACCACAGAATAGATAAGGTTTCACTGTAAAACTATACCATGGTATAACTACTGAACAGATAAGACCTTATCTATTTGTAGTATAAATATTACCATGGTCTTGGAAGATGAGGCGTAAACTTCATCAAATAATGCTCAATGAATCAAACGACCTCTCTACATTATTCTATGATTTATCTCTCCAAGGTGAAAATTTTTTAATAGTATTTGGAAAAGAATGTTGTTCATTGGCACATATTCATATTTGGTGAACGTCACACGAACGTCATTGGTTTTTTTCAAATAGAACGTGAACTTGAAATATATTTTATAATTCAAAAATGTGTAATATATTCCCATTTTTAATGAATTTTAATGATTTTAGGGTCGTTTACATAATTAATTATACAAATGTTTCTACGAACTCATGACGCATTGGCATAACAAAATTGAAAAAAAGAAACAATTAATTAAATATATCCGTTTAAATATAAGATACTGTATGAGCTAATGATCTTTTATTTTGCATAGTTGAATGTTGATTTAATTACTGGGATTACAAAAATAATTGAAACGGGTACAACAACACTCGAAGCAGCATTATTGCATTGTTTATCTATTACAATTTGTTTAAAATTACTCGTTACATGATGAGTTATTGTAAATTTAGAACAATCTCTTTATATATTTATAACTATTATCTTTAATTTATAATGGATTTAAATAAAAAACGAGCAAAATCTATTATTGATTTTGACGAAAAAAATGAATATTACAATAATTTGGGAAATATGAAATGTATATATAGAGTCAATATTTATGTATCTAGTTGTTGGGCGTATAGAACACCTAAGAACAAAAATGTTTATATGATGAAAGCATAATTTTTTTTTTGCTAAATGGTAGCCAAAATTTTTAATTTTTATTCCCTTTTGTAATATACCCCGATTGAGATACTGAAAGTATGATTTTTATATATTTTTTATAGATATAAATGTGTCTGATTGAATTGTTTATGTTAATGGATAATTATGTAGACTGCAGGTGAACTATTCATAAATAAATATATATTCAATAAATGACGAATTAACACGTCTATTTTTTTAATGAACGTAAACTTGTTTATTTGACAAAAAAATGAATTTGAGTATGAATGAGTTTTTTTTTACATATTGAATTTGAAAGTGAATAAGAAAATTTTTCTAATGAACGTTACGAATACTGGAAATACTGATAAAAGGAAGATACAATTTTATGTTTTAAAGAGGACGAGAAAGTTTTTTTTATTATTCTCCTAGGTATACGAGTTAAAATTGATAGTAGTATATTTAATTGAATAAGGTATGAACAAACATATTAAAACAAAGAAATTGTAATATTGATTTTCATTGTATATAATTTATCATTTATACTTAATATTTTGTAAGAAAACCATATATATTTCCAATTTTCCTTATGAAGAGCAACTTTTCCAAACGAGAAATTGTTAATCGGTTTTTCGAACAACATATAATACTTGTAGAGACAAAGTATTCAAAGTTTATTAAAATTGGGCGGTATAAATTAAAGATTTTTATGGTCACCCAGAAAATATTAAAAATCCGCCGCTAGAAACGCGCCTATTACAATAATTTGTGGGGCATGTGTCATTTTTTAATATTGTTGTTTTGAGATTATATTACAATGTATTAATTATATTCAAATTCAAAGATGGACAAGTAATGGAAATAATTAAGTTAAGTTAAGTATGATCAATGTCGATAAATTAACAATTAAAAGTTAATAAATTATAAATTTAACTAGCTAAGATAACATTTTTTTTAACTTAACTAGTTTAAAAAAAGTTTATTTCATTTAAAATTAATTTTTTTGCTAAAATATCTTAAGATAATTTTTTATTGGTCGGTGATGTATGGGAAAGTTAAGAATCGATTTTCAATTTTTAAAGTTGAATCTTAATATTCTTTTTCCTCTCCTTAAACCAAACTACTTGTGGCCAACCCACCCTTATCCTTATCCTTAACTTCTACTTGACACGATCTCCCACATCATCTACGTTTACATCAGCCGTCCTCATATCACATTCAATAACATCCTTCCATCTCATTTTTGGTCTTCCTCTACCTTTTCATCTTTGAATTGTTCATTGTTGGTTAGAACAATAGTTAATTAAAGCATAAATAAAGTTTAATTTATTACTAGTAATGCACAAATAATAAAACTTGATGTTATCATTTTATAACAAATCAATTTTAATGACATTCGTCTATGTTTAATCTTTTTCTTATTTTACCTCGTCTTTATCCTAACTATTTGGGGTCGGCCATCCTTATCCTAAATTTTCTTCTGACACGATCTTCTACGCTCACATCAGCTGTCCTCAAATCGCATTCAATTACATGCCTTTATCTCTTTTTTGGTCTTCCTCTACCTCTTCTTCCTTCATCATTCATTTATACAACTGTTATTACGGCTTCCGATGCTTCTCTCCTCATAACATGACCAAATCATCTAAGTATTTTCTCTCATCTTATCCACGATTGACGCTACACCTATACTCCCTCTTATATGTTTGTTCCTTATCATAGCCTATCATACAACTCATCATATCTTTTAAGCTTAGGAAAAAATATTAATAACAAAAAAACTTTTTATTCGTTTTGTACATTTTTATGTTTGTTACACTGTATTATCTTTAAAATAGTTATTAAAAAAATCATATATATTTTTGAAAAAATCCATAAAATTATAAGTATTGTTATATAAATATAACATTTAGGGAGAAATTCCCATTTTTTTTTTAATTAAACCATTTATAAAGCGTATAGACATACATTTTTTAATGAAATATTGAATTTAGCTTAACTGTTATTTTAACTAATTAACTGAAAAAAGCTAAGTTATTTCAACGAAAAATTAAATTAGTTAAGTTGAAAAGTTAAAAAAAATAAACTATTTAACTTAACTTTAACTTTTTAACTAGTTAATGTCCACCATTGATTATATTTATATAAAATGTGACATATTAAGTATACTACCTCCCATTTTATTCGTTAAGAAATGATTTTTCCATTAAAATGTATAGCTAAATATCTTATGCACAGTTACTTTTGTACGTCAAAAAAACATTTATTTTTAAATTTAAAATACATACTCTACAATATTCATGTTTCGATAAATTAATATATATTAATAAATTTTTAAATTAAAATAACCATAATAAGACAATATCTAAACTTCAAACAACTTTAGTGACTGGCTTAACATGTCACCTTTAAATTTTGTATTTTGTCAAAACAATTACAATTGAGTTTTTATAATTATTTTAATATTTTGAGAACATTTTGAAATGGGACTTATGAGCGCCTAAAATTCGCTTTCAATTGTGCGGAGAGCTCAATGTAGAATTCTTATTTGTACATCATGTTAAACATTTAATTTTTGAAAATTACTCCAAAAATCTATCTTTAGGAATAATTTTTTCTTAAAATAAACTTGATATTTATAATGGTTTATAATAATAAAATAAACTTTTATCTATACATTTTTATAAAAAAATGATTGTTTAACGTAATATTGAGGATAGTACATCTACCAAATTATACTGTATATTAGATATATCATTATACTAACACACCCCATAAATGAAATTATATATTTACATATAATAAGGTGTTTTAACATTGTATTTCATAATTAATTATATATATTATTTTTTTGGCATAACGCACTACCACCTGAGCAAGGAATGTCGCCAATTTATTATCAATGCTTTTATCAGATCATTACCCTTACATAGTTGAGTTAAAGCACTTTCAATAATTAACCACTGAATAATAATTATAAGAGTTAAAACATTCTAATATATAGTATTTATTAACTAATTTTTTTAATTCAATAAAATAAAATAATTTATGAAAAATGTATTTAAACAAGAAAAATAATATTTTTTAAACTAAGTTTACTATGTATACAAAAATAGTAATAATAATTCTAAATATAATTTTATTACAGTTAATTAGATCAGTTATTAATATTTAGGAACATCAAATGAATACATATGTCTATATTTTAATAAAAGCTGTCTTTTCATCTGTAGAGATAATCTAAGATGATCCATTGCTTTTAATTGCTGTTCACTGTTGTATTGAATTCCAGGAAGCTTTCGAATCTTGAAAAAAAGAATATTTATTTATATATAAAAATGAAAGCACAAATTTCAAATATATATATAATGATTCTTTTACATGAATTACATAATTGACCGAAAAATAAAAATAATATTGATAATATTTTTTTGATTCCTTTTTGTTCCATGTTTTTTTAATTCATTTATCATGAAGTATTTTCATAAAATTTTTATATCTAGGTTTGAGAAGTGAGGCCAAGAAATTTTAGTGATTAAAATAGTACCATAAGTGCATCACTTACAGTCATTGCGTTGAATTAATCCTTATTTAACTAACTTCTGAAATACTAGTTCAAAAATTTTTATTCACCGGTCATTTTCTTAATTAGATGATTATTTAATAAATAAACTAGTTAATTATTCATGTTGCCATTTGAAAAATGTTGGTTCTTTTGTAAGGTATAAGGGATGCACAAAAAAAAATACTTTATGGTTAATAAAAGAAATTCAAAAAGATTAAAAGAAACTAAAAAATTTATTATTTTTATTTTTTAATTAATTAAGTGGTTTATGATAAAAGAATCACTCTGTAATATTTTATTTTAGTACTCTTTATCAATATCAAATTAATACAAACAAAATAAAAAATGTTAAGTAAAAATATTTTTAAATAGTAAAATTATAAAAACACCAACTAAAATATAAAATAAATAATAAGGTTTCTTATTAATTTTGGAAAAAATATATTATAAATTGGAAAACTTTTAACAGATTATGAGGCCAAAAATCAATGAAATATATAATATTATTCCTATGAGAGTTTTTAATATATAGTGTAATTTATTAAATTAATTTATTATTACTTATCACTCTCATTCAAAAGTATATTGAAAAGATAACGTTTTCTTCTATCCTTTTCTCAATACGTATTTATTGTTTAATACCGTAAAATAATACATGAAAATTCAAATTTTCACAAACTTCAAAACGCTACAGAATATTTACTACTCAATATTAATAAGATATTTTTTTACTAAAATTTTTCTTAAATTCTACTCTACAAAATAGCTATCTTAGATTTTTTTTTTACATTTTATTTAAAATTTAAAAATAATTAATATTTTTAATAAAATGTAAAAAAATTAATTATTGAGATATAGCTATAGACCTAACGTNTACATTTTATTTAAAATTTAAAAATAATTAATATTTTTAATAAAATGTAAAAAAATTAATTATTAAGATATAGCTATGGACCTAACGTATAACTATTATTTAAAAAAAAAATCAGCTAAAAATATTAACTGGATCAAAAGTTATTTAAGTTGTCAGTGAGTGGTGGGCCACTCTGTATATTACAACTTATATTACTAATTTATATTTTTTTTTTCACAATAATCTACTGATTAAAATTTCATTTGTTTTTATCATTTATGATAAATACTTAGATAATATAATAGTAAAAAAGTATATTTCTTAAACAAGTTTTGTGGGATAATTTTAAAATTAAATAGAAATTTATAATTATTTTAATTCAATAATATGAGGAATATACTTAAACAAATACGACTAGTTAATAAAATTAATTAGTTGATTAATTGTTATTTTATAAGGCCTAAAAAATTATGATATTATTTTCGTTATTATAACATGGGTTTTAAAATATTTTATTATTGTAAAGCATAATAAGCTTAATAACCTTCAATATGCTAATTATTACAATTTTGATTAGAGATCAAAAGTGTGAAAGGATATTTTTAATTATTTAAAAAGTATGTGTAAATAGTAGGAGTGGTAAATTTATTTAAAATAATATAATTATTATGAAACATGTAATTAAATATTTTTGTATGTTAAATTTTTTTTTTAATAACATGAACAGAGCATACACAAAAGGTGTACAACTACATTAGGCTGCAAATTAAAAAAAAAACCCATAAGTATTAGTACTTACTTGTTCTCGAGCTAAATCAATTTTTTTTTGTAAATCCTGTATTTTAACAGCAATTTCTTGAGCCGATTTTTGTGGCTCATGGTTTTCTCGTTCACCACTGTAAAAAAATAATTAGCTTCAGGACTTTCTTTTTTGTTAATATATTTAATTAGATAAAAATAAAAATAATAAGGCAAGATAAAAAACGTAAATAGTTGTGTTAATACCTCTTAATAATATCATGAATTAAAGGTAAAAAATCTGTATCAATATCACTAGCTGTTACCGAATTTTCCATATTTCTAACACTAAACTAAAAGTTTATTATAATTTGATAGATAGCGAAGACAAATATTAATAATAAAAAACTAAATGTTTTAGTGTCTGTCACTGACTGTTAAACTAAGGTGTTTAAACTCGAAAACATTTTACGAATGAAAGCGTCACAATTATTTTCTAAAGTAGTCTGAAATTAAGATGCAAGTCTGAGCCTTATGATTTAAAAATTATTCAATTAACTTCAATTAATTTATAGTACTGGTGTTAAAAAAAATTCAAATAGTGATAAAAGTTGATAGAAAAACATGGTAGTCTACATAAGAACCTGATAAAATTGGAACTTGAAATAAAATATAAAAATAAATTTTCGGTTTTATTTTATTTAAGTAGTGTTAATATACCTTTTGACGGTATAATAGAATTCCAAAAATATAACAAAACTGTGGTGCCTATTAGTCTAGCAATTGAGGTAACAAGCCTTCATTTAAACCGTTTTATATATATATTTATATAAATATTTCAACGATATGATTTGATGATAAAAAAAATAAGTGTTATCATAGACAACATTGATGGGGATCTATCTGGCCCCTGCCTTTCGTTCGACCTACTATTCATAAATAGTGATTATACAACATTACCGCTTCATTACCGCCACCCTCTTAATAGTGACAGATACTAAGTAACTAATTTTTGCTCACGGGTATCGAATAGTGCAGTCATCAAGGTATAGTCTCATTATGGCCTTTCATTGTCAATTGTTAATAGTAAATAATTATTAGTGAAATATTTCTTTTTTAAAATTGCAGTAACGTTAATTTTGACTTGCTTGTCTGATTTGTGCGGTACATATTATTATCTCGAGGGATTTAATTTTCAAATAATCCATAAATTTTTAATTGGCTGTTTTAAATAAATTGGTGAGTGTACAAATTTATACTTTTTATTTCAATACTTTTTATTTTGTTAAGTGCTTTAAATTTTAAAAATTAACTAATAATAATTACTTTTTAATTTATTTAAAAAATGATTAATTAAAATAATTAAAAAAAATTTATTTTAATTATGAGCTTTATCAGTGCATAATATTTTATATTGTTGTATTGTGAAACTTTAATGTATAGTTGATGTTTTTTAAACACTCCTTCATATTAGGATACTGTGTTAATTTATTGGCATTAATTATATTTTGCTATTGTATATTCAAAATTATTGCGTGAAAGGTGACCTAGTTAACCTTGCCTTCATAACACTGGTTGAAGATATTTGAATAGGATATATTATCTGAATACATTAAATTATACAGGATGATTTTTTTAATATTAGCAACTTGATATCTTTTAAAATAATAATTATATTAAAAAAATTCTTTTAATTTGCATAACTCTTAATTTGTCAATTATTAAGTATTTTTTTAAATCGCTACATACATTTTTAAGTAGCTTATAGTGTAAAATATGATCTAATCAAGAAAATGACTGGTCAACAACATATTTTAAACCATTATTTTGGAAGTTATAAATCTTAACTTAATAATTTTAAATATAGAGTGGAGGAAAAGCACAGCAAAGTAATGTGTAATGATAAAAATAACATAACCCACATCTCCACTATTATATATTTTAAAATAGTTATAACTTCCAAAATAATGGTTTAAAATATGTTGTCAACCAGTCATTTTCTTAATTAGATAATTTTATATTTTATTAGATAATTATCGAAATCTGTTGTCATTAAAAAAAATTAAATTGACACTCTTATAAGGTTTAGGAAGTGATTAAATAAAATACTTAATAATTGATAAATATAGAAAAATATGATAATCAAAAAATTCAAAAATTGTTTTAAGAGAGATCAAGTAGCTAATTATAAAAGAGTTACCCTGTATATATTCAGTGACTGAATATATCCAAAAACCAACTGTTTTTAAATTGCAAAATATATTATTACATATTGGGAAAAATTTTGACCAAAAACTTATATTTACTTTTATTTTATTAAAAAAAAATTTTCTTTTCAAAAATTTATTTCTAAAATAAAATTTGTTATAATTTAATGATGCAATAATATTTTATTGACTGAATATAAATGAGTAAAAGGAACTTTTTCTTATTTCTTAGTACTAACTATTACTCTCTCTTTATCATGTTACAGCATTGGTATAACATACATGTATAGTTAATTGTTAATAGTTAAATTGTTATGGTGTATACCACTAGCACAAAAAATAATTTTGTTTTGTTCTTTGACATATGTTTTTTTGTGTGCATCATACTAATAGTTATTGTATAATAAAACTATCATTAATATAATGTTAACCAAGTATGTTTTCTCAATTTGTATAGCTTACATTTAAATTTCTATTATGGTTAATCTCAAGGTTATGCATGATGTATTTGTTATATAGTTTTATTTAATATTTTTAAATTGTTTTAATGACTGTTGGATATTTATTTTATTTATAGTTTTAAATGTTTAATATATTTTTACTTAAAATAATATTCAAGAGTCCTATTTATAAACTAATTTCCACTAGTTGTTTACAATAAGATTAATGTACTGAATAAAGTTTAATTTTTCAAAAATATTTTTACAGATTCAAAAATCAAATATATACAATGGCTTGTCCATTCATGTCTAAACTACCTTCAAATTATGTTAAAAATTATGTGTCTAGTTTAATCAAAACATATGGCCAATCTTGTCCTGTAGCATCCAGATTCTTAAATATAGGATCACCTACATATGGGGCAATAGAAGAACAAAATCAAACTTTAGAGGATAATAAAAAGTGTCCATTTTTAGAAGAAGTTCATTCAAAGGCTGTTAAAAAAATTAGTAAGGAAATAAAAGAAGATATAATAGAACCCAAAACTGAAACAGGTATGTACATAAAATTTATTTTAACTTTAAATAATACATAACTATGGTTTCAGGTTGTAAAGTTCATCTAAAATTTTACTTAAATAAGAATGTCTTTACTTAATAGTAATCACAGTTTATGTAAATAATTTTGTATATATTTGTTTTAGCTTGACTTTAATGATTTTAATACAATTTGTCAATTATAAATTAACTTTAATAAAAGTGCTTAAAATGACATAAATTTTGTAAATTTGTAATAGAAGATTTTTTAGGGAAATAAAGTAAGTTAAAATTTGAAACTAAAGCAGAATAATTAAATTTGAAAAATACAATAATTTATACAGTCAGTGAGTAAATTGAAATCTCTCCCTACTTAAACTAAAACTTAACTTCTGTAATTTTAAAATTTCTTATTATATAAAGTTAGTTGTGTTCTCAGGAGACTTTATAATAATTTTATTTTATTTTTGGCTATATAAACCTATTTCAATAAACTTAAATAAACCAATTTAAATAAGTTGTTAAATGAATTAAAAATTAATTACATAAGCTTATTTAAATTTTTGTACATGTTTAGGGACTATTTATAACTATGAGCAATTTTTTCATGAACAAATAATGCGCAAAAAAATGGATCATTCATACAGAATTTTCAAAAAAGTTAATAGGTTAGCATTAAATTTTCCATTTGCTGTTGAGTATTCAGGAAAGGAAAAGCCAGTGACAGTTTGGTGTTCAAATGATTATTTGGGTATGTCCTGCCATCCTACTGTAAAAAAATCAGTTAGGTAAGTACTTTAATTTTAATAAACATAATACCAGAATGTTATTATCATTGGAAAATTGACTTTGTGCAAAATATATTTATTATAATTTATAGAGAAACATTAGAAAAGTATGGGTCTGGTGCTGGTGGTACTCGTAATATATCTGGTAATTCTATGTTCCATGAAAATTTAGAAAAGGATTTGGCATCTTTACACAAAAAAGAAGCAGCATTATTGTTTACTTCTTGTTTTGTTGCTAATGATTCTACATTATATACATTAGGAAAAATGATACCAGGTTATTTTAGTATATTTTTATGATAAAAGTTTTTCTATATATTTTATTAACTCATAAAAATGGTAAATATGTGTAAATAGATGTTCACATATTTTCTGATTCTGGAAATCATGCGTCAATGATTCAAGGAATACGGAACTGCGGTGCTCCAAAACACATATTTCGTCATAATGACCCTAAGCATTTAGAAGAACTTTTAATGTCTGTTGATCCAAATGTTCCAAAAATTGTTGCATTTGAAACTGTTCATTCTATGACAGGTGCTATATGCCCCCTTGAAGAACTTTGTGAAGTAAAGATTTATTTTAATAAGTCCTATAGAATTAATCATAAATGATTTATAATAATTGAATTAATATTTTAGGTATCTCATAAATATGGTGCATTGACTTATGTGGATGAAGTTCATGCTGTTGGCTTATATGGTGATCATGGAGCAGGCATTGGGGAACAGCGTAATCAAATGCACAACATGGACATTATCTCTGGAACTTTAGGTAAAAAAATCTAAGTTTGTTAGTGGATTCTTTATCATTGTGTTGAATGAGATATTGTTTTTTAGGAAAAGCATTTGGAAATGTTGGAGGATATGTTGCTAGTACAAGCAACTTTATAGACATGATACGTAGCTATGCAGCTGGTTTCATATTCACTACATCATTACCTCCGATGGTGTTAGCTGGTGCTCGTTCAGCAATTAGTGTGTTAGGTTCAGAGGAAGGTAGATTACTTAGAAAAAAACATCAAGATAATGTACGTTATCTTAGACAAAAGTTGTGTTCTGCTGGTTTGCCAGTGGAGTCTACTCCTTCACATATTATTCCAATTAAAGTGAGATGAAAATGTGTACAAATTAACTATGTTATTTGGAGAGAAAAAGTCATATTTTATTTTTAGATTGGAAATGCTAGTTTATGTTCAAAAATTTCGGATATGTTACTCCAAGAAAAAGGCCATTATGTTCAAGCAATTAATTACCCTACTGTACCAATTGGTCAAGAAAAACTGAGATTAGCACCAACTCCTCATCACACAACTGAAATGATCGACAAATTAGTGGATGACATGCTTGTTATCTGGATGAAATTAGGAATACCAATTAAAACAGTAAAAATATTTAGTTATTAAAAAAAAAACGAGAAATTTCCCATGTTTTTATACTTTGATGCAGTTACTTTGTCTAATGTTAAAGAAAGATATGGGAACTTTTTACTAAACTAATTAATTTAAGAATACTAAGCTATCTATGACACAACATTTAACTAATATAGGCAGGTATCTTAACATAGATATCAATATTTAATCAGTTTAGCAAATACTATCTTATGAAAAATTACCATGTTAAATTCGTTTTTTTTTAATGAAATAATTAATGTATAAAAATTAAAATATGCATTCACATGGAAAAAATAATTAAAGACAGCCTAGTGTATAGAATTTTAGAAATTTTTTCAAACATACTATTTTTTTTTTTTTGATTTTTCTATTAATGTAATATTTGTGTTCTATAGACTTGCAATATGTGCAAAAAAGAAGCAATGTGTGGAAAGATCAGAGATAGTATTCAGAATAACTGTCGTATTACTATTGAATCATGTTTGATTCCTAATTGTTACCAATTAATTAGAGCTACAGTTTAGAATAGTTTATTCTAGTTGCATATATATACTACAATAATACAAATTTTAAGGTTTAAAAATAAAATAAAGAACTTAAAGTAAAGTAGTTCTCTATATTCAGGTTATTGGGAATAATTTTGGTTTAGGAATATATTTGTTACTAAATAATTCATTAAAAATAGTAGAATATAAATTGTTATTATAATTATTTTTTCTTTATTATTTTCAATTTGTTATTATAATATAGAAATTATATTATTTGTCTTGTTGTCTCTTATGTTACCAGGAATATTTTTAGTGAATAAATCTTTTTTGATTTGTTTATTTTTTACCATTTTTTTTTATAATGATCAAATGTTTTTAAATAAAAATATGTTGTAATTTTAATATATGTATCTATTAATAAACCTACATAAATATGTATATTACGTTTTTAAGACAATAACCAAATAAACTGAAATAGTTATTTATTATGCTGAATTTTTTATAATAAAATCTTTATCTAACCTGAATGCTTATCACAAAAGTTTCTAAGACCAAAAAGTAATTTAATTACGTAAATATTGAAAATTGGTGGTTTATAGAAATAATGTTTCATCTTTCCAAACAAGTATACTTCTTGAAGCAATAGATTCTTGTATTTATCCTAATAATTTTAGTATTTGTCTAATATAAATTATACTGTATTGTACGAGTGAATTGAAAAAAGAGACCAACTAATGATTAATTCCATTATCAAAATTTCTCTTGAGATCAATTAACACTACAATGATTGTATAAGAATTATTCTTATACGATTATAAAGTACATATAATTAACTTGTAATCTTTAGTTATAATGTATTATATTTAATTTATAAACTGATAAATATTCATCCATAAAAGGTTTACCAATTAATGAAATAGGGAATACAATTGACAAAAAACAATAAAATATCAATTTAAAGTTTTATTGTGTATTTATGTAATTATTTTATTGTATTTTCATTGCAAACACATTAACTTACTACACATTAAACTATTTTCTACAACCTTTTTTAATGTAATATATCGCATGGATTTACTACCTACAAGTTAAAATGTATGCAAAATACGATAATTAGGAATACAAAATCAAAAAACATTAATGATAATGTAATTTAAAGTTGAGGTTTAAAAATTAATATTCTGAGGTATAGTCATTACAAAAAATGATGTTAAATTATCCTAAAATTATGTGGGTTAATGCATAAATAACTGTTTGCTAACATAGATAAAAATAAACTTACATAATCAATAAAATATTTTTAAATATAATATTTTCAAGTTCTTTCAACAAATTATATAAAATTGTGTAATCGGTAACCATTCTTTAAATAATTTGATAAGGTAACAATAAAATTCGTTATTTTTCTAGCAAAAAAATTTTTTTTTATAACTCAGGTTAAGTATTTTTTATAGTTAAAAAGGTTGAAATCGGTTGAATACCGATTTGATAAAATATAGTTTTTTATAATATAATGGAAAATTACTAATATCTGGGTATGTTTAGACTAAATATAACAATTTATTAACAATTCTTATGTTATAACATAAAAATAAAAGCTTATTTATTAATGTAACATATAATATTTAATATGAGTGTGTAACCATTTTATTTTATCAAATTTTTGTTTATATTTTTCATTTTTTATTAAAAAATCATAACTTTCTGTTAATTAAAAATAATTCATTTTAAGATAAGTTATTCTGTATATAATAAAAAATTAGCTGAAATAAAATAAAATATTAAAATTGAGTTATTAGTTATATTATTGAGTTAAAAAATCTGTACGCATTATTTTCTAATAAACAAAATGATATGAAAGTTTTTGTTAATATACGTTAAATTTATAATTATTTATTTTACATATACATATATATTTTTATATTAAGTAATCAATTAATTCAGAAGTTTTTGAAAATAAATTTCAATAGAATACATCATTGTAATTTAATGAAAAATCAGGTTATGGATTAAAAATTGATTTAAATGGGTAAAGCTTAATGGGATCATTTTGAAATGGAAGCATAGAAATTATAGTAGTTTTTTACATATAATGAAGATTTTGATTAATGAATTACATAGCCGCAATAAGAATTTTTTTCACCCAGAGGTTATATATATATATTAATATTTTACAAATTTGATACAAATATTCGCATTTTATAAGTATTTCTTATTGAATAACAAAATTGTGCATAATGTGTAGTGCAGACAATAAAATAGTGCATTTTGTGCAATATAAATAACAAAATCGTGCATAATGTGTAGTGTAGACAATAAAATAGTGCATTTTGTGCAATATAAATAACAAAATCGTGCATAAGTGTAGTGCAAACAACAAAATAGTGCATTTTGTTCAATTTAAATAACAAAACAGTGCATAATGTGCCGACTTGGGTTAAGAAGGCATTGGAGGTAAATTCCGAGGGTCAGCTTAATTAAAGAGATAATATTTTCTTTGTTCATAGTTTTATAATTTAGATATTGGCGAGCATAAAGTCCATTTTAATGAACCAGACTATAATAGTTCAGTCCAGAAGACTGAACTATTATAGTATGTAATGCAAATAATAAAATATTTAATTTTGAGCAATATAATCAAGAAAGAGGTGCGTAATATATAGTGTAAATATTAAATCGTGTATTTTGTGCAATATAAACAAAACGGTGCATAGTGTGTAGTGCAAATAATATACATTTAATAATTATTAAATATCAAACATGCAATTTGAATACAACTATCTAACTTATTTTTAATTAGGCATTGTAATATTAATATTTACACGAAATATTAAGTAAATTATAGTTAATTTTAACCTCTGGGCTATACGTATATTTATTGAGCATAAACTAAATTGCTTATATGTATTACTGTATTTAATTATTTACAATCAACAGTAGGTACTATTTATGTTCCATTCAACATTAGCTATAGGCGGACTCAATGGCGGCACGGAGAGTACAAGTTCCCTGAATATTCAAATTAGTTGTCCAATATGGTCAAGATAGAAACTATTGTTAATGAACAGTGGAAAAATATAGAACTTAAAATCGATTAGAAGAGCTCAATTCATCACCCCCCCCCCAACTATGCTATAAGTTAAATCGAAGTAATGTCATTACCATTATTTATTATTGCAAACATGTTCGTGACTTTTACTGTGTCTTTAATCATTTGTTGTTTAAATTTCAAACAAATTCATTAACAGAACAATATAAAAACGATAGCGATAATAATTATTCTCAATACAATGATATTAAACAGTTATACCGATATCTAAGTTCTATTCATTGGTTACACACTATCCAACAACAAATAACAATACCTAAATTTATGTATGCCACAAAGTGGCTAATAAGTATTACAGTAATTTCAATAACTTTTTGGGTTTGATAAACCATGACTTTTATAATATAATATTATTTTAAAACTACATGTGGCAGTAAACCTTAGGAAAATAGACTAACTTATATTCAGAAATAATTCATTTATAAATGTGTTGGTTTACTACCATTAGGTAACAATTGCCATTTTATGACATAAAACGACAATAAGGTAACATAGGTTATACCATCACTAATTACCAGTCAATAGGAGTGTTTCAACTTATTAGTAGTAATAACAGAGACGTATTCAGATATTTGCCGCCCGGGTGCTAATGTATTGCCGGCCTCACAACTTTTTTTTTGAAAACTTTTATTGGCTCATCAAAAAATGTTCCTTTGTGTCGGTAATCGCCAAAACGTTAATGAGCAAAAGAAAAAAATGTTATGCACGACTGAAAAAATTTAAACATTGTTATGCAAAAATTTAATACCACCCGGAGCCCTCACTAAACACATCTCTGAGTAATAATAATAAGTAATTAAAAATAGTTAAATGGGAAATTTTCTAAAATTTGACAAATAGACTAAATTTTGGGAAAAAACAAGCGGGAAATCGTCGATTTTAAGTGAAATTTACAAGTCTTGTCCCAGCCGGTCAAGTTCGGACAGCAAAAAGTCTATGTCATTTTTGGTGACAGCTGCGCTGGATATGATATTTCTGAAGAAATTTGGAAGTTCATTAAGGGGCTGATAGCCAACCATCAGAGTACCGGCTTCCATCATTTTACCTTTCAATAAGGGCGTGATCTGAAATTATAGTGTTTTAAAAAATATTTTACTTAATTATTTTTGTCTTATTATAATTAGATAAAAATATCAATAACAATTGATTATTTGTATCAAGTTTTATTTGTGTAAAATTATTTAAAGGCAGTAATAATAATAATGATAAAAAAACATATTGCAGAGGTTTAAAATATATGTAATCGCACTGACAGCGGTAGAGATTGAATATAAGTACATAATAATATTACACTATACGAAGGGGTTGACTAAAGAGGGTAGTTTTATGACGAAGATTTGTATGCATTATGCAATATTTTGTATTTTTAAATTCACTTATCCAAATTCAAGTGTTTACACAGCTTGAAGAGTAAAAATGATAGGAAAAATAAGTGTTTTAATTAAATTAATTTTTTTGAATTTGTAAGTACTGTAAAATATTTTTGATTTTAAACGAAAAATATTTCATAATCTATTAAATAATAAAATTGTATTAAATTATTAATTTCAATTCCTCTAAATGAGCTTACTTTCAAGTTCTTTGCATTGATATTTATAAAAAATTATATTTATTGTTAATTGTACTTCGTTGATCGTTAATTGTTGATATTGCAACTTTTATTGTAAAAGGAATGAGACCGATTATGAATTATTATTGCTTTGAAATTTTATACAATTTGTTTATTGTACAGTTTGTAATTGGGATTTTTCTTTTTTTGATTTCATCATTTCTGGATGTAGGTACCAATATTCTTTCTAGAACTTTTTACAATAATTATTTTTGCGAAATGTATACCTGTCCTAGGAGTTCTACTCGTTTAGATGAATGAGGCATACTTCGCAGACGTTTAGGCACATACCAAAAGCTGACGTTAACCATTTCCGGTTCAAGAATCAAATAATATTTCTCTGGTGATGCTTTAATTTTTTCTACCATATATTCACTTAGTTCCATTAAATGATTCATATGATTTTCAAATCCTTCAGTACCCTAGTAAATTGTTTAAAATTTCACAGTAAAAAGGATTATTTGAATCTAAAAATCTTAGGGATGATAAAAATCATTTGACGCAATTTTCTTTAGAAAAATTACTTTTATAAAAGCTAATACTTACTTAATTTCCTATTAACTTAATTATAATAAATTTTATTTTTCATACTTACTTTGGCACGCCATTGAAGCCAAAGTTTGAAAATATCATTGTGGCGACCACATTGGATCACCTTGTCACCAGTGTCATACCGAACATCGTATAATTTATCTTGCATAAACAGATATTCAGCACTCATTTGGTTGCAGCTTATTAGTAGTCCCTACAGTGGTAAAATATAATATTGTTTGTTGAAAATATTTATTGGTAAATATAATCATTTTGTTTAAAGAAATTTAAAATATTAATTTCCGTAGTACATTTCAGCTTTATAGTTTTGCTACCATTAGTCTTATAAATCTAACAAGTCTTATACAATATAAAGTTTTATATTTATAAACTATTAGTTAATTTTATTATGATGTTGTTTCAGTATAAAAACATATACTTTGAAATGATTATGCTTACATTGTCTCTGAAATGAATGGTAGAACACTGTAAAAGAGTGCCCATCAATTTGTGTGGATTCCACGTTACCGAATTTGCTCTAAGAAAATAAAAACAATATTATTCATGTTATAATATTTATTGGTGTATCTTGTGTTATAGTGGCAAACATTTTTCTTGGCTTACAATTATGTCTACATGTTACACTTTTATTTTATTTTGTAGGATGAGGATTCTATTTTATAGCAAAAATTGAAATAATGTCTTAAATAATATTTATTAAGTATGAAAAAAAAGTTTTTTTCATAATTATTGTACCTTGAACATTTTTTTTTTCGAAGTACAATAATTCGATCTAGGTATGCGTAACTATTTTAGAATAAAATGTTATCAACTGTAGGCAGTCGTTAAATTTTTATAGTTTCAACACGTATTTATTTTTTTTTAATAATACCAGTAAAACTTTTATTTTTCGTTGTATAAATAATTACAAATACAGATGATATTAGTCATGTTTAGAATAAAATATTTTAACTGTAGATAAAAATATGTTTCCCTTGAGATGTTAGTAATCGATTTATTACAACAAAAAAAAAACGATTTGTATTTGCAACTTATGGACCCGGGACAGTTATTTACGATTAGGGTGTATAACGAAGGCTTACTTGGAACTCGTTTAAAACTTAACGTCCATAGAGTTCCAAATAATCTGGGATTTGGAACGTATGTTAATTCAGTTCCCCTATTGTGTAGGTGAACCGCAGGCGAGTAATGTGTATTGTATGTTTATATAAAAAATAATAATAAGTTCAGTTTTTTAAGTGAATTAAAAAAGTAAAACGGGCTATTTAAAAGAGAGCTGTTGAGTAATTTGTTTTATCGGGTGTATAAATTAGTTTTCCTTCCTTTTTTAGAAAAGAATGAGATGTAAAATCGATATAAAAAGAAATGAAAATATTCTCAAACTTGTTCAATTTAGGTTAATCAATATAGACACAAATGATTAATATAATGAAACTCTAGTGCAAGAAGAGAAAAAAGATGCGACATTTTTTTTTTAAATTGTCCCTTTTCTTATGTAATATATAATATAAAATATTATTTAATTAATTAATTATGGCACTTTTAAATATCACGAGAATATTCTCATGAATGTTTCCGAAATCGAGAATATGCCTTACATCACTATACTTATTAATTCGTGAATATGATATTATCACTATAGAATATTTGATTTTTTTTTCGTATAGTCTGTGGTTACACTATAAAACAACTAATTAATAGCATAATTAATTTTTATCACGGTAACGCGTGAGTCATAAATCTTACATGGTGACATAGTTTATAATTGATTTTAAGAACTTTAAAAAAAACCGGTTTTTGGTGAGGTACCGGTACTTTAAAGGGCTCTATATGTTCTTCGTCAGAAACTGTTTTAAATCGTTTCTTAAAGGTTCTACTTGAAAGGTTTCGTTCCCTGAAAAGAACTTTATTTAATTTTGTATTAGGTAGAAGTATTTAGACGTAACTCCTTTGAATATCTAAACCATTCGCTAGGATTTATTTTTCATAAATATGTATTCGACTAATTGTATTATAATTATGTTTTTATAATTTCATCGTATCTAATGAATTAAAAACTACACAAATTTCAAAATAAAGGAGTGTATAATTTTAAAAAGAAAAATTATATTACTGTTATTTGAATGTATTTATTAATGAAATTAAATGTTTTTTGAACTTGCAAGGGTCATATAATACCGGGTGAAATGTCGGGCAAAAGGCTAAACTAATTTGTATCGCGCTGCTTTTTTATACACAAAAAAAAGGATTAGGATTAAATTGATTGCGGGATTTTAGGTGAAGGGTTTGGCGTAAAGCTTTTTTTATTTACAATTATACAATTGAAGGGAGTGTTAGGGGAAATATGGTGGTGGAAGACGTTTGATTAATGAACGAACATTAAAATTCAATTAGGTGCTCGTCTGCGTTTCCCCAGAGCAAGTGCATAATAAGAAGGGTTCTGTGGCAGAGTTATATGTCCCGTTTGTCCTCTGAGAATGTTTATCGTGTCGTCTACACTTGTGTTTACACACACACACCCTCGTCTCGTTTATCGTCCACCCACACTCGTCACTTTAAAAGTCGCAAGGGACTCATTACATGTGTACAGTGTAACTATGTCAGGATCGTTTTTTGATACTGCATGCTTGAACAGGTGCAAATTGTTAATTGTAATTTTAGTAAAAAGTATCGTTGAGATCGTTTGAATTTCGTTAAAATCGGTAATTGATTAGTGTTATTTTTCACGAATACACATAAGATTATTTAACTATTAGCAATAAAAATTGTATAATGTACATTATGTAAAATACAATAAACAACCATTTTTATTCTCTAAAATATTAAAAACATCACTAATTGTCCATATTCAAAATAATAGAGATTATTGGATCACTCGTGGCTAATATTATTTAAGAACTATTTATGATTTTTAAATTTATTAATTGCTTAGAGTTTTTATTGTTATGTGTATAGATCAGGAACGTTAATTTTTCTCAATGAGCATATTTACATTGTAAAGGCTACTATATAGGGCCGAATGTAATGTGGGATTTCTTATCACTCAATTTTGACGTTGAGATAGGCTGTACCTTATGGGCCAAATCAATAACACGGAATTTTAGACGCACAAATGGATACTGCCCGTTAATGACGTCTCTGATCGGGGTACATGTACAATTTTATGTTTCACATACCTCTCGATTCCGGTTAATCGTGGATGTCTGTACTTTCTTGATAATAACAAACCGCCACCCCAAGCAGCATCAACGTGAAGCCAAAGCTTGTATTTTTCACATATGTCGGCTATTTCATTGATTGGATCAAAGGCACCTAACACTGTCGTACCCGCTGTACATGTTACAAAAAATGGTATGTGTCCTTTGGATTTTCTCTCTAAAATTAATCTTTCAAGTTCTGCCGGTATCATGCGTCCTCTTTCATGAAAAATGTTCAAGAAACAAGTAAATAATTAATATAAGTTATTCAATATTGTTAATATAAGATTTATAGTGTGAGTTTTCCCTTATTAGAAAGTCCAATGGCGTATTTAATGTTAAGTTCCCCGGGCAGTACTAAATTGCGCCTTATTAGCAAGCACTCAGAAAAGGCTTGTGAAGCCTTCCCTGGAAACTAAAAAAAATGTATAAATATACATTTTAGCGAAGAGAGAAATTAGGTTCTTCATATTTTTTTGATTATAGTAAAAAACTAAAGTCATATTATGAATAAACTGTAAAAACATTTTGTTGTTCATAGTCTTTTTCAAGTTTTGTATATTTCTATATTGACAATAGTTAAGTAACTTTATTTAAAAACTTGATATTTTAGAAAGATCTTTTTGGATGTGATGATAATTGCTAGGTGAATTTGTACATTTAATAGAGATGAACGATCACTTGGTGGTAAAATTGTGTTTAAAACACACTCTTATTCGTTCGGATACTTATAGTTCTAAGAGGGTTTTTGTTAGTGAAAGAGCATCGCAATGCACTTAGTCTGACAATATGCTTTGACACTTTAATGGTGTCGTCCGAGGGGTTAAGTATTTCTACCCTCGGTACAACCTCATGGGTTAACCGTAAGGAGATTTTCATGATTCTTCTGTAATCTCAAAAGGATTACTTAGAAAATATATTTTCCTTATTATGCAAAGTCTTGTTTATATAGCTGTAATTTATAAGAACAGTAGAACGCAATACTTAATTTATCAGATATTCATAAATATATATAATAATAATTAATATAATAATTCGATTTTTATAATGAGGTTTTAATTACTGTTAATGTTACCATAACGATAACATAATTAAAAAAATTAACACTAAGTGAAAAAAAAATGATTTTCTATTTTCTACCTTTCATCTGACGGTACATCGACGCAGTTATCTTGTCCTAGACCACATACAGACGCACAGCTCTTCACAGAATAGTGAGACTGTAAAAGAGATTAAAAAATCAATGTTGGATTAAATATATTTTTAGCAGTTGCTGTACCGTGCGAAATTTTACTGATTCATACCCAAAACCTTTACGAGACTGAATAACATGTATATTTAAGGGTAACACCTGACGAAATTCCCTTACCAGATTTATTCGTTTTTTATTATCACTCTTAACATACATTTTCCACACGAATAGAGTAGTAATCGTTCTACAAACTAGTAGTTCAAAATTTAAATGATATTTAATTTTAAATACATTATTTTGTTGTTGGTAAAAATGTGGAATGGTCGATTTTTGTAATGCAAACATTTATCGCGGAATGATGTATTTTCTTCAATATTAATTTTTACTATCTGTCAACAATTTACTCGGCTATTATAAAAAAGTCTTTATTTCTAAAGGAAAATTAAAAAGTAAAAACCCTTTTCAAACGGCGTTGGAAATATACTGGAGGCGGTAACTACTGTTTTTATTCATATGGGTATAGTGCAGTTTAATTTCTAATTCAGTGTATAAAAACACACGATTCAATTGTTTTCAATAGAATTAAAATTTATTTAAAAAAACATGAGCTTTAGGGCAGCCTTTTGTTAGCTCCTGATTATTGTCTAGGTCTTTTGTTAAAGTCATCTATGGCTGGAAGTGGAATAGTACATATTGAACTGAGTTAGTTAGACAATAATACTACTGTTTAAAATTATTTATGTGTATATAAAAATTTAGTAGCTCATTCTTAGAAAAAGCATGTTAGATTTTACAAATGAAGTAAATAATTATTTCGCAAGAAAATATAGCTATTAAATTTATGATTAAGCTGAAAAATAAAAGATTTATTAACAGCCTCTTGGTCAAAATTATTTTTCTGACAACTGTAAAAACTTGACATATTGTAATGTTTGAATTAAAATTAAAGGCATAGAAAACATAGCGTACTTGATTTGATGTGTACATGACTAGTTGTCCTTTGATCGAATGAAGACCTTGTTCTTTGTAGCCAGGAAACATTTTGTGTCGAGCCGCGAGAAACGCGTATAAATTAGATATTGAACCTCCTAAAAATGACAAAATTTAGATGGTTTTTTACGTCAATGAATTTTTATTTATTTATTAATATTTATTTACCTGGTGCTAAAATTGAATCCCCTCCCTTCCAACCAATAATTTCCCGCATTTTGGCCAATACAACACTCTCCATTAAAATAAATACTGGTGCTATTTCATAAGTGAACATATTAGTGTTGGCTGTTGCTGTTAGCCATTCACCCGCCATAGAAACAATGTCCAGACCACATGATAATTGGTTGAAAAATCTTGGGTGGCCTATAATGAATTAATACATAATTTTTTAATAAAATTTAAACACATATTTTATGACGAAATATTAGTGTTCTGTCGGACATCAAAGTTGATGTCGCATAATAACTTATTATTATTATTATTATTAGTACTGATAATATTGAATTTTAGATCATCAGATTTCATAGGATAATGAATTAAAATAATCAGTTTATTATTCCTGAATAATTTATATGTCACATGTTCCTGAATTGTTTAAATTTATTTAAAACCAATGTAAATGCCTATTCTCAAAGAAGAGTTAAAATGTTACAGTAATGTTGAAGGAAGTCTAGATGTCGTCAAAACGGAAAATCATTGATTGCACAGAATAATTTTGAATAATCTAATTTTTTTGCTATTCTTTAAAATAATAAGATTTTAAGTCGAGGGTATTAAAAAAAGATATTTTTGTTTTTAAACGATAGTTAAATTAAAAACAATTTTAAATTAACTAAACATTTTTTTTAAACCTTTTCAATTTTATAAAAAAATAATAAAGTAAAAAAAATCAACATCTCCTTTAAGGTTTTCTTTGGATCCAATTTTGGACCAATACTTTGAAAGTCATAACATTTTTATATCTATGTGGTAGAAGAGGAACGGGCAAAATGTCAAATGATAAATATTGTTATACCTGCACCTCCCTTCAATTTTATATGTTAAAATGAAAATAACTTCCAAAATAATGGGTCAAAAGTTGTTATCGACCAGTAATTTTTTTAATTAGATCATTTTTCAATTATAAATTGAAAAAAACATTTCTTTGAAAGCTGTTTTTTTTAATTAGAAAAAATAAACTTCGAGATCGTAAAACGATATTGAATTAGTTAATAGATTAGCTAAAGGTAATGGGTGATAAAGTTTTAAGTATCAAACAAATCTACTAAAAAAAATGTTATTTTTATTACTTTTAACTATACTATAAAATATTCATAAAAAATGAATTAATTGACCTAAATAAAAAATGGAGAATTAATAAAACTTTTTAATCTTAAAAAAATTATTTCATTTTTTTTATGTAGTTATAAAAAAGAAATGATAAGAAAAACTATATATAAGACGATAATTTTATTACAGCTAATATCAATTGAGAAGATTATATCCATTGTGACGGGACCTAGTGACAAGGGTAATGTATTAAATGTTAATTATAAGAAAAAATATATCTTAAATCTTGTTTGGGTAAATTTTGAGTTACTTAATTTTAAAATTCTTAAAGATGTATTAAATGTTATTCAATATGACTTTTTTGTAATATTTCTTATTTTCTATACATTTTTTTTTGGAGAAATAATTAATAGAATAGGCTGGTTTTAGATCTTTTTCAAACATGAATCTGTGATTAATATTCATAGGTGATATATTAATTTTAGTAATTTTTATAGAGACTAAAGCAAATTTAAAATGTTTATGGTATAGAAAGCGATATTTATGCAGTAATAAAAATAAAATTTTACTTTTTTTTTTATATTAACTTGTAAGTTTTTACATATAACAAAAAAATCATTCTCCAAAGGAGTTATAAAATATCTTTTAAAAAATCAGCTTTTGAATATTCCATAAAAATTTATGTTTTAAGTTTCACCCAAAAAATGTTTCCAGAAGAAGGAAGAGTTAAGGATATTTTTTAATTTAGTTTTATTTATGTTGAATATTTTTAGTATAATTTGTTTACATACTTGTCTAAATAATCTATTACATCTTAATATATTAATGTATCTGTACACAGATTAATAAATTATAAAATAACTATTTTAGCGGAAAATGATGTCAATTAATTTGAGTGCAATTGCTATTTTTTGGAGTATAATGGTATTTAGCGAATCTGCGCCAAATATTGCTGATCCTTTATATTTGTGTTATATACCTGCGGCAAAATGTGCAAAACAAAATTTTGAAAAATGTAGTTTTGGCGCAAACTTCAAACCCTCAAATAGCCAATATTTGTACAAGGTATGATAATGACTATGATATTAATTGAGATTTTTGAATATTGATACATAGTTTAAAATACTACAATTTCATTACTTTTATGATATAAATTTTATTTTGAATAGATATTATGTGTTCCAAGTATACTAATTATTGTTATTAATAATGATTTTGAGCAATATCATTTAAATTACTTATATTTAATAAAGATCTTAAAAATAATTTAAACTTAATAAACGAACTTTTTCAACATTTAAATAGACTAATAAATATTCTCCATTAGTAATTTTTCCTAATTTACTAACAAAGAAATTATTTCTCAACCTTAAATAATTAGATTTACTGTCTTTTTAGCTTCGTTGGGAAGCTGAGAAAGTATTAGTTTAACTATGATGTGTTTTTTATTATTTTTTTTTTTGTGTCTGTTACCCACTTTTTTTTAGGTCTCACCGAACCAATATCTTTCAACGATATGTCCAAAGATCACAAATCGTATCTAGTCGAAGTCATTACTCTCAAAAATTGAAAAAAATTTCGTTGTTCCCCGTTAATGGGGGAAATCTCCAAAATAATTACAAATTTTAAAATCACTAATTTTCGATATTTTCGAAATTTTTTTTACTTAAAACTGCCATAACTTTTTTAAAAATGACAGAATCAATATAATTTATTTTTTTATAGATGCATGATGTCTTTACCTATTATTTGGTATATTTTTTTTTATAAATTTGACCCTTTACGTGCCCACAGGGGGGGACTTAAAATAGATATCATTATACTTGTTACAACTATAGCACGTCCCCACTGAGCTGCTACCCTTCTGTGCTGGGTTTTTTAATTTATAATTATAAAAATATTCTAAAACCTAACTAATTATTACATTATCTTAGAGGAGAGTCAATTTAGATAATTATTTTATGTTAAGTAGAACATTTGTGGGATTTACATTTATAATTATATTTTACATACTATTTATGATTTTTGGTTTTGTAATTATTTATAATTATTCAATTAGATTAACTTGTTTTTATTTTATTAATTTATCTCCTTATTATGTTTAATATAATTTATAGGATAATTATATGATAAAGACTCAGCAAAAATCTACAAGTAATAAATTTGAAACAAGCAATGGTGTTTGTCGTGATTTTCATTCTGATTATATATGTACTTATCGCGCAAATTATAGTGATATAAAACTGTTTTGTTTAAACAAAGTAGAACCTATTACTGAAAACCCTACTACACCAGTATTCACATTGTCGACTAGCACAATGCCTCCAATGGACAAGTCAAAAATTATGAACACAAAAACAATGACACCTCCTATGACTTCAATACTAGACTTAAGTTCACAATCAGTTAATGCTAAAGAAGAAGAATTCATGTGGATAGGAGCATTTATGCAGGTTCCATTAAAAAACCCGTTAAACTTGTTAGTTGATATGGAGAAAGTAAGAAATGGAAGTCTTAGTAAACTCGTTACTAATCAAGCCATTGAAAATTCAAGAGAATCGTCATTTGTTGAGGATGGATTCAAGGAGAAATTATTTGAAATACCTCAAAGGTTGCTTCAGCCTGAATTAAACGATATTCAAAATAATCAAATTGAAAAAAATTATCTTAAAGCATATAACATAGAAATTACGAATGATCTTAATAGTGATGACATGATGATAAAAAATGACGCGACACAAGAACAAGAAGTAAAAAATAGTCCCATAAATGTTCATGTAAATAAAGATTTGAAGATGAATAATGATCAATTCATTAGTAAGATGAAAGTTAATGAAGACTTAAAAGCTTAGTAAAGCTAAAATCAAAACTTCAATTTAAATTTTAAATATAGATTATCATCGCTAAAATATAACAGAAAATTACATTTCAACTAAAATTATTTTTTAATTTTGAATAATTTTTGTAAAATATTTATATCTATACTATGGTCTATATATTATTTAAAAGTTATTATTTCTTTTATAGTTAATATATTTCCCGTAAAATATAGTTTATCATATATAAATTATAAAGTTTTATTCATTTCATACTTTTATGATTAAAAATTGTTAATGAAATTTTATATTACTAATTTCTTTTCATTTAAACATTTTTTTTTTGCTTTATATATTACAAGTCAAAAGTTTGAATACACAAGAAAATGGAATTTTTTAGATTATTAATTTATTTTATCAAAGCTGATTACTTTATTCATCTAATTAAGTATTTAGAATATCATTAAAACTTATTTTTGATTATCCTTTATGCTCTAAAAATTTAATAAAAACACAAAAAATAACTAAGTATTACATAAACTAAACTGCTTGAAAGTTGTCAGTTTTTATTTATTTGGCACTTAATATTTATACTTTCTGAGTGAGAAGTGATACTAGAAAGCATAATTTTTAGCCTTTAAAATTATTAGTAATGATCTAAAAATTTTTATACTAGTGACTAGTATACCAGTATAAATTTTATGAGCTATTTTATAATTATTTCCCAATGAGAAACTTAGAACGCTTTTCCTTACGCAGTCTCTGAACCCTATACCAAGATTAATTTTCATTTAAAGCACACTCAAAAAAATGTTTCTTAAATTTATTTACTGGGTATAATTTGTAGTACATTTTGATACATTTTAAAATAATTGTATTTTAAATTGTGAAGGGAAGTCTCAGGTTAGAGTAAATTTAGAATTTCAAAATCAAGATAAGACAGTCCCCTTTATTTAGGTCTCTTATTTGTACATAGAAAAGACCCAAAAGGATACTTAGTTTAATACCATTATTGTTATAATATTAAGCAAATTAATTCAAGTATACTTTATTACTTCAACAAGATACAATTTGTGATATTTTGATATATCGTTGAAAAATATCGGTCAGGTGAGAGCTAAGAACAGTCATAGAAAAAAAAACACATTATAGCAATATTAATAATATTAATAATATTGCTAATAACAACCTTAAAATTTAAATAACTTCAGTTTTTTAAATTAAAACATATCTTCTTATTGAATTCAATCCTGAGATTGGTTTGCAGCAAATCTCCTCTTTTTCCTATTATTTACCTTCCTATTTGTTCCTTCATAAGAATTACACCCTTGGTTTTTAATTATTTGTTGCATATAATCTAATGTGGTCATCCTCTAGCATTTTTACCTCCTACGCAGCCTTTTATAACTAATCCCATGTCTTAATGTATGTCCAAATTATTCATTTCTCATTTTCTTGATACTATTCCATAGAGTTGTTCTGCCAAACGTTCTTTCTAGTACTTCTACATTTGTAATCATATCAGTCCAACTTATTTTAAGCATTCCTCTGTAACACCACATCTCAAAAGCTTCTATTTTGCTCCGTTTCCCTTGGGTAATTGTCCACGTTTCGCTACCATATAGCATTATATTCCATGCGTATGTCTTCAGAAGATTTATTCTAGTGCGTTAGCTAATATTTCTTGAAGTAAAAAGTTCTCTTTTTTTGTTAAATGATATTTTAGCATGGCAAATTCTATTTATTATTTCTCTTTTACTTTTACCATCTTAACTTATTATGCTTTCCAAATATGCTATTACTGCTGTATCGTATGAGAACCGTAACACATCAATTTTCGTACCAAAATTTATACCAAATGTATTTTCTCTCTTATTATGTCAATTGCCTTTTGAATGTATGCGTTGAATATGCTAGGTGAGAGAGTAAAACCCTGCCTTACTCCTTTTTTATGCATGCTAACTATTCAATTTCGCCAAATTGTATAATAGCTGTTTCCCTCTGGTAAGTTTAAAGAGTAGTCTCCTTTCAGTGTATTCTATACCCGCTCTTTTTAGCTTCCTAAATATAAGAACTAGTTGAAATTATCGAACTCATTTTTTATGTCAATAAAAACTATGTATGTATGCTTATCTTTTCTCAATAATTGTTCTTAATGCCAGTATTGCTTTCCTTAAAACCGTGTTCTTTCTGAACCCAAACTTTTCTTCTGATAATATGGCTTCGATCTTATTTTTCATTCTTCTTGACATAATTATTGTCAGTATTTTTGACAAATGTATGAGTAAGCTAATTGTATGATACTGACAAATTTGTTTGCGATTACTTTTTTCGGAATAGGCAGAATCAAACATTTTGTAAAGTCTACAGGAAGTCCTCCTAAGTTAAATATTTTGAAACATATATATTTAATCAACTAACAAACTAGAAAATAACTGATCGATAACAACTTTTGGACTAGTATTTAAAAAAATATTATTCATTTATAACAAGGTAGGTAACAAAGGCTTCTCCTTTGGTCTTAATATAAATAACTTTCAAAATATTGGTCCAAAAGTTTTTATTTACCAGTTATTTTCTAGTTTGTAAATAATTTACAAACTTTTATTTAGTATCTTACTAAACATATACATTTCTATTTAAAAAACTTAAGTAGTTGAAATTTTAAGGGAGGAAAAAGAGGATAGAGCTATATTACTGACTGTAAAACTGTAAATTATAGAACGTGAAATACTATTAATTTCTAAAAATTTAATTTCGATTAATGAATAATGACTATAGAAAAAATACCGTTAAATGGGCTAACACGGAGTAGATAAATATCTATTAAAATTTTAGTCATATCAATCTACAGTACTAGTAAAATTACAAGTGTCGTTAAGAATCTCAAAATTGTTATCAAAAATTAAGTGATGAAATTTATAAAATATGTAACTCCCTCAAATTTAACACCCCACATCAGTTTGCCCATTGATGGTACCTAATAAATAAAATATCTTAATAGTTAGTTAGTTCCATTCCTACAAGCATTTAATACATAAAGTCGGTATAACAAAGATTGGTTCTTATGTATTCCACGCTGCACCACAAAATTGAAAACTGTTGTTTAACTGAAATAATGCACTTATCTAAATGCTTAAATATAATTATTGAAGTAAATAAATAGCTATTTTAGTTTAGAGCATTTCATAGTTTTAAATTATGTGTACTTCAAATTGTTTTTTTAATATCCATATTCTGTTTCTGGTTTATTTGCTACATATAGGGTAATTAAAAAAAAACGCTACACGTGTGTAAGATTGTGCTCATAAACCGTATCTTTTAATAAGTAGAACAGTTAAATTTTATAAAATTTCATGGCGCGCAAACATATATAATATTGTAGTCATAAAATTTTTCAGCTAAAAGAAAAAACATAAATTTATTGTTCAAAAATTGATAATATAAAAATTAATGAAATATAAATTACTGCATATTAAACTCTATGTATCCAGTAAGATTATGCCAATTCAATTGTTTTGGCACTATAACTAAACTGTAACTTTTATGTTCAATAAGATTTAATTATTCCTTTAAGTGTAGTGTACTATAATTGTTGGTTAAAGGTTTAAATGAATTATTTGGTATATGATTCTGTTAAAATTAATAGTAGTCAAAACAAAAAAAGAAATATTACTATCAAATTTAAAATGAACTTTATGTAATAAAAATTATTTAGCATGATGTAAAAATATTTTATAAATCGTAAATTATCATACTTAAATTGAAAATTAACTGTTATTAGTTTTGGGTTAATAAAAAATGACTTTTTTAACTGTGATCTAAGTCAAATTCAAAAGATTTTTTTGTACTTGTTGTTCATATTAATATTAAGTCGAGAAATATGTTAAATTAGTAAGATTTTATTACTAGTAAATTGCTATTTATTTTTTATTTTTTTAGTTACACTATTTTAATTATTTTTATTTTAGTGTATAAAATGATAGCGCTACAAGATAGTTTCAATCTACTCACAATATTTTAGTTTCTATTAACATTTCGAGAAGGTTTTGAAGAAGTACACAAATTATTTTATTGTTATCGTTCTGAAGAAAAATGTCAATTGAAAAATTATATAGATTGTTCATTTGATTCTTATATGGTACGACAAAAAAACTTATTATTGATCTGAAAAATTCTACAAATCAATTAGTTTTAATTACTTCAATAATTTTAATCTTTAGAACTATTATGAATCAGTAGCAACAAATGAACAAATTAGGAAGACAGATAGTACGCTAAAGTAAAGAATAAATTGGAAATATTCTATTTAAATAAGAACAAAAATATACCAAATGAGTGGTAAACAAAATTAGCTTATCAACCTACAACAAATTTAATGTGCTTAGACCAACATTAGAATCAAGTCGATCACATTCGATTAAAAGAGTACCTACAACATTTGTTAAAATGCATCCGTTTCGAGGGCCAAGTAATCCATTTGTAACATCAGAAACAATGACCACAACTATTGAAGAACCTACAACAGAGCCCAATTGTTCATATTCAACAAACATAATCGTACCAACGATTTATGTTAGAATAAGACTTAAAACAACACAAAAGCCAAATAGTCAATTCATCAAGTATCTATCCCACAATTGAACTGTTTATACCAGTTGAAACAAAACAAATTAAACCCAATCTCAAAAAGCAATTTATTTGGATTGGAGCATTTTTAATAATTATTTGTTTGTAAAAAAATGTTTATAAATAAACCCTATTTGATTTTCAGACTTATTAATGCAAATTTTTTTAAATTTTTGTGATGATTGCATGTGTGTTCGCACTATTAGGAATTTGGTGGCTTTGTTGATTTTATCTATTTAAAATTAAGCGCATTTAGGATGTTTTATCATAACAGTTGTGTAAATTCCTACGAAAAATACAAAGCTCAATATAGTAACGTTATTGTATTTCTAGAATAAAAAACAAGCGGGGAAATAGAGTTGATGGTCCCTACGGAAATTACGTAGATAGAAAGCGATTAAAAAGATAGTGTGTTGAAA